AATTTGTTTTTTTTTTGAGAAAATTATCATTTGGAGAATTTCGAAACACCATCTAGTGACCATTCACAGTCATTACGGTACACACTATTCTAAATTTAGAATATGTGTTCGTATAGATTCGAAAAATTCGATTATATAAACCTCCATAAAATTTACGGATTAAGTAAACAAATTGCTATTCGAGATTGTTTACTTATACTTTGGTTATTTATTTTTTCATATATTTTTGTTGCAATAGTTATAACGGTAAATGGATTAAAATTGTTGCATTGAACTGATGTATGTCGATAAATATATTGAAATTATTTGACCTATATGCTTTGGATAAGTCAAGATATTTATATGAGATAGGATTTTTCCTATTTTCAATCGGAAAGGTCTTGCTGAAAGACTTTTGCAGGTCTTATACTTTTTTGATTTTTGATTTTCACTAGAAGCAAATTCTAAATACAAAATCTTTAAAATATAGTTTTTAAGTAATTTAAAGCTGATGAAACTTTAAAGAAGTTGTATTTGCCTGATGAAATGTTGTATTTTTTAGTAGTAAATACTAATAAATACTACATCGACAACCGACAAATACTGTGATAATTTCAAATAAAAATACTCAAGAAAATCTAGTTTAGCTTCCTTTAAAATTTCATACTAATGTCTAGAAAAACGTAAGCTAACTTAAACACACCATTTCCAATAAATTCAAGCAATAGGTAGTTTTGTATAAACAAGTAAAAAAATTAAGAAATCGTTCTTTAGTCTTTTAATTATGATCTATGAAAAATTACATGTAAATAAAAAAGGGAAAAAAATCTCAAAACCACAAAAAGCAAGAATCTAGGTTTTGCTTAAGTCTTGCACTTATAGTCGGCTGTCGGCTGTGATCTTGGTCTTGATCTAACTTGGTCTTAGTCTTGACTTTTACCAATCCCGCTTATCACTTTTTTTTATGATGAGGGAAAAAAATCTTCCATAAGACACCCATAGTTGGGTAGTGCCGGATTCCTACCGGCTAAAAAAACCCTCCTCGTTCAAGTAAGCACAACGCCGGAACCGCTTACGCATTACTTCGACGTGGGGGCTGTCTACGCCATGTGGCGTTGTTTCTCTTCTTTTTTACTTAGTATATTATTTATGCATTTGTTTACTGTTTCCCATAATAATTCACCTCCCTCAAGGCTTCTCATCAAGTTCGTTTCAGTGAAAACTAGTCCACTCTCCTTAAAATTATCTCTCTCATCGTTCCATTTGGCACAATAGAATACATGTTCAACATCGTCTATTTCGCCACAAAATAAACATGACTCAGAGCTTGCCCGCCGCATCTTATAGAGGTATTTTCGGAAACACCCGTCCAGACATCATTTGTCAGGTGGTATCCCACTTCACCATATGGTCTGTCAATTCATTTTTCGATGTTGGGTATAAGTCTCCAGGTCCATCTTCCATACTTTCCTTTACTGATCCTGCCACTTCTCCATCACAGTTTTCCTGGCTATTTGTTTGAGCTCTCCCTTGTATCTATCTGCTCGTTTATGAGCTAATAAGTGGATGGGAGGGATGCCCGCAATGACACCAATTGCCTCAGTAGATACCGTTCTGTAAGCGCTACAAACTCTAATACATAATTTGCGCTGCAGAGCTGTTATCTTTCGCTTTGTTTTTATTTTGTCCATTGCCTTACACCATACCGGAGCTGCATATAACAATTGGGAATGTATTACGCTAACAAGAATTCTACGCTTTGTTGACCTAGGGCCCCCTATGTTCGGCATTAGTTTTGATAATGCAGCTAGCAATTATTTGTCTGGGTAAATTACCCAGTCTGGGTAACATGTTCACAGAATGTTGTTTTACTATCTAACCAGACTCCGAGGTATTTTACAGAATTCTTAGGTACGATCAATGTTCCCTCAACATCAAAAAGGACTGGCGCCAGTTTTCGTTTGGTGGTTAGAATTACCGCCTCTGTCTTTTGTGGCGCTAGCTGTAGATCCTTTTGTGCCGTCTATTTAGAAATTCTCAAGAGGCCGGTGTTAGCTTTATTCATAAGTATTTCTTCGCTATCAGCAATCACTACCATGGCTACATCATCCGCGAAGCCAATGAGAGTAATACCCTCTTGCATATCCAATTTCAACAGGGAATTGTACAAAATATTCCACAATGTGGGACCAAGAATAAATCCCTGCGGAATTCCGGAATTTATTCTTACCAATTTCGTTCTCTCTTCAGTTTCCAATAAGATTTTTCTCTCGGACAGATAAGAACTTATTATATTTATTAAGCTATTTTTAATGCCCCTCTCTCTCAATTCTTCCAAGATTAGGTGCCATGACGCGCTATTAAAAGCATTCCTAACATCCAGTGTTCTCAGTGCACACAACCTGCGGTTTCCATGACTAAATGCTGCTGCTTTTTTAGTTAAATTAATACCCTGGATAACTGCATCTACCGTTTGGCGTCCTTTTCTAAATCCGAATTGTCTGTCGCACAGTCCACCAGTTCTCTCCACTTCGCTGTTCAATCTTCCCAGTATTAGGTGTTCAAATATCTTCCCTTTAACGTCCAGGAGGCTGAGGAGCCTGTATGCAGTTGGTTCGCCTATATTTTTATTTTGTTTTAGGATTAACAATAACGTTGCAACTTTCCACTGAGTCGGAAAGCAGTTTGACCCGGCAAGTTGGTTATACACTGACAACACATAATCTGGCTTCACGTTGGCCATTTGTTTAATAACTTCTGGAGGAATACCAGCAAGCCCTGGTGCTTTATTATTATTTAACCTATCACAAGCCATTAATAGTTCATCCTTTGTAAAACATTCAAACTTATCTATATCACAGCACTTAAATATCACAGATTTGTGGTTAGGGAACAGATATTTTACCACTTTCTCCATTGCTATCATGGAGAGATTTGGTTGAGGTGGAAAGCCGATCATCCTCTTCATAACAATTTTATATCCATTCCCAAATATATCACAGTCAACTTCATCACAGAGCTTTTTCCAGCATTTTCTTTTGGCAGTCTTTATTTCATCACGCAGTTTTTTTTACTCTCCTTATAAATATTTAATAGATTCCTCCTCTTCTTATAATATTGCAAAATTGCGGCATTCTTTCCGCAATTTTGCAATATTATCGTTTCACCAGTATACTGGCCGATGTTCCTCAGGAGCCCGTTTTTTTAGCATTACTTTCTTGCATATATTACTCAATATTTTAGAGAAATTAGCGGCGGTACTACTGTTTTTATTACACTCCTCTTGTTCAATTGCTTTAATTAATTTCTCGGGCTGCAATTTATTTACCTGTCAACCCTTAGAATATTTTTTTAGTGTTGTATCGCTTATCACCTAGATACGTCTGAGCCTTGTCTGAGCGAAACGTGTGTAAACTATCAACATTAAAGACAATGCCAGTCCAAGATGATATTTTTTTTATAATTTAAATAATGTTCGATTATATTATTAAAGTATTATTATTGATTTTTAAGTTGTGTCGTGGAAAAATATTTGCTATATTTTTTGCCTAGTATAATATCTAATCCAAATTTGAATACTGGCAAATGTTTAAATTAGAGTTAATTTTTTTCAAGGCTTAATCAGTTTATAAAATTAGCTTTGAATTAGAATACATGTTGTAATACTTAATGTTTTGTTATGGTAATATAAAATTATAAAAAAATTAATTGAAATTTAAATAATACTGGTACTTGTTCCTTTCCGTCGTTAATAATATTTACCTACTTTCTTTACTTTTCTTACTTCAAATCTTTCATATGGATTTATCTATGAAACACCTAAATGGAATTAAAATAATTGCGTAGAAGCCATTATTATACAGGGTGTTCCTTAATGACATGCTAATATTTAAAGGGTTGATTCTTGGACATATTCTAAGAGAAAAACTTCATATGAATGTATGTCCTAAACATCTTAATTTCTGAGTTACAGGGATATCTTTATGAAACTTAATACACTTCTTCTATGCATCAAAATACCTTTTTTGGTATACAAAGAATTTATTTATTTCAACCAGTGCCGTTCATACGGGTTTTACATTGAATATTTTTGGAGAAAAAAGTGGTACACCATTGACTTCTCTTAAAATAAAATTCTTCAAAATCTGGAAGGAAATTAAGAAATAAAACATTTTTTTTGTTAATCAAAATATGCATTTTGATGCATGGAAGATGTGTATCAAATGTATGTAACATTACAAATATTTAAAAAAATATAAAAAATTTACCACCCTGTATCTGAAAAGTTAAGATGTTTAGGACATAATATATTTATATGAAGTTTTTTTCTTAGAATAGGTCCAAGAATCACCTCCTTAAATATTACCATGTCATTAAGGAACAACCTGTATATTTTTTCTTAAAACATATAGTAAATAAAACATATTATTTCTAGGATATGATCTAGATTATACATAGATATAGTCTGCCCAGCGAAAGAATTATGAGTTTAGTGGCAACTTACTGTCATTATAATTCATTATTAATTATCCTTCCTTTAATTTTTTAAATGCCTATGTATCTAAATTATACCAGTATGATTAGTATATATTCTCTCTTATAATATAATGCTACGACTAAAATCATGTATATTTTTGTTTCTGAGAAAGGATTATAGTTAAATAGACCTATAGTTTAGTCCCACATTTTAAAAACAACAAAATAAGAGATAAATAACATCAAAATTATGTCTGTCATCTTTGATACTTTAACAGTTTCTTTTAATAGAAAATAGATACATTTTTTTTACGATTTTCTAGTTTAAATCTCAAATTGTACTGCTTATAGTTGGTGCATACCTTTTTGTAAATGTTGCATGCAGTGAAAATAGTTCGTTATTAGTTCTGTTATAGAATTATGTTATACTTCTATCATCCATACACTTTTTTTTAAGTTTAAGTTTAGCAAGAAATTTGGCATTAAAGTAAACAACCAAAAAGCCATATGCTTTGATAATGTTATTTATTTATTTTTCTTTTTAGCGAGACCTCAATTGCCAGCGCAAGGGCATCTGTCATGATATACGACGATGTCAACAAGAAGTGGATACCATCTGGAACGTCTTCTGGACTGTCGAAGGTACACATCTATCAGCATCAAGTGCACCAGACGTTTAGGGTGGTCGGAAGAAAACTTCAAGACCATGAGGTATATATTTAATAAGTATTAATATCTAATTTCAATCTTTCATGGATTAAATCTTCATTCAGAACTTCGCAATTAGTGCAACAAAGTGGTTTAATTTGTTCCAATTACACTTTATACTTTTTAGTTTACGATCATTCACAATGTGTAAAAAACACAATTACAAGTAATAGAATATCCTAGCAATAAACAACTGATTACCGCAATATACTGACTACGACTATACTGACGATACAACTGATTACCGCAAGCTAGGTAGTCAGATGCATCCATAGAGAAAGCCTAATATTTAGCATATAAAACAATAAACTTTTGATTTCTAACCACATTTTCTCTTGAAAGATGATAATCAAAGGCCAAAATGACATTCGTCGCAAATTTTGACGTATAATTCGCGGAAAAGTTAAAAGTTTGTTAACTTTTTCCACTAATTGAAAATGCCTACTACTAATTTTGACTTTCTGAAAGCTTACATTCAAATTAGAGGAACAAACTTCTACGCAAATCGAAACCACTAATTGCGAGGTTCTGAATGAAGCTTAATCATTCAAAACGTCAAAATTAGTGGTAGTAATTTTCACTTTGTAAAAAAAGTAAACACACTTAACTTTTTTCACTAATTATACTTCAGAATTTGCATTGAGTCATGTCATTTTGGCCTTTGATTATCATTCGTCAAGAGAAATTATGGTTGTTAGAAATAAAAAGTTTATTGTTTTATAACCTAATTATTATTAGGTTTTCTCTATAGATACAACTGACTTACTGCAAGCTGTTGCTAGGATATTCTATTACTTTTAATTGTATTTTTTAGACATTGTGAATGATTGTAACCTCTTAAGTATAAAGTATAATCGAAACCACTAATTTATTCCACTAATTTCGAGATTCTGAATGAGGTCAGGAATTAGTCAAATCAAATAAATTCCTTACCTCCTAACCTCCTTTCGAAAATTTAGTGTAGATTTGCATTGTAGTAGTCTTGCTGATAAAAATCACTCATAAAATAGCGAAAAGAGAGATTGGCTGTTCATGTGAACATCATACTTAACACACTTGATCAGAATCTTGTACTTAAGTACAGTGAATTTAAGACCATGAAACCATATGAAAATAATTTGTAACATTTATTTTATTCTAATATTATTTCCTCATTTTGTAGGGATTATATAGATGTTTGACAATATTTTTTTTAATTTCCAGGTAGTTATCAACTGTGCTATATTAAAAGGACTGAAATACAATCAAGCTACAACCACGTTCCACCAATGGAGAGACAATAAACAAGTTTACGGGCTCAATTTTAGTTCCAAAGAAGATGCAGACTGTTTCGCCAGAGCCATGTTTCATTCTTTGGAGGTAGGTTGCTGTAGGGTGTAAAATTTTATTGTCAACATACATTAGTTTTCGTCTACAAATCAGAGATGTATCTGGCGATGTATAATATATTAAACTTATATATTGTCATGTATCTTAAAATTACAGCCACAAGTGGCCCTATCATAATTCGCAGATGACTGCAAACCTCTTACAACTTCTAGTTAGTAACCTAAAACATCGTAAAAATATTTGTTATATCGTAAAAATATTGTTTATAAAAATAAAGGTAAGTTGAGGCAAAGTTTGTCCAACGAGGCCAGGGACAATTTTGATAGACGTCATTCCAAAAATTGCAGGAAATTAATTTAATCGTGAATTAAAATGACAGAAACGGCTGTCATCTGTCATGGATTCTCTCATTGGACCAATCGTAACCAAACTATAAAGGATGATTCACAGTACACCGGACCGTGCCCGAGCCGGGCACGTTCCGTGAAGTAGACACCGAGCCACGTCCAATCCTTCTGTACATGCAACACCGAGTTGATAACGGGGTTCGTATTAGTTTCGAGTATATTAGAAAACACAGTCCCATAGACACACGAAGATTTAAAACGAACAATGCCAAAGTTCTCGCAATTGGAAATGGTACCAATTGCAGTTGATGAATAAAGAACAACACCTGCAGGGGAAACACCTGCTCAAAGGAAAATATGAAGGACCTATCTTCTTCATTACATCCTTTCATTGTCCAGTTTTACGCCTGTCGTCAAATACTGCTGTAAGATTCACTAATACTTACTACAGACATGATAAAAAGTGTACTTTGTTTATATCATGACTGCAGATTGCAGTCGGGGCACCAGGAAAAGTACATTCATGCTTTCCGCAACGTGGCGGGAACGGAGCGGATCCGAGAAAAAAATGTACGCCGACATTTCTGGGACGGGGCACGGACGAGTTCCGACGAAGCTCGGATCGTGCTCGGCCTGGCATGAATGTATATGTGTAAAGAACACTTGACAATGTTTGGCCGTGTCTTCACCGACGCACGGCTCGGACCCGTTACGGTGTAGCGTGAAGCATCCTCAAAGCGGTGTCTTTGGGTAGTGTTGGGTGTTGGGTAAAAAAATCTGTCCAGCGAAAGAATTCATGATAGTAACAGTTGTTGTCTGTCACAAGTAAATTCTATTTTTAGTAGTTTTTTGGATCTCGACCGTATAAAAATTAGCCACCCTTTTTACTCCAAGTGTGATTATACTCCAATCCGCCGATATACTGGGTGCGTCTCAAAAGTGGCTCACCCCTATAACTTTTTTATTTTTTTCAGATAAAAAAACGAGATTTGGTATGATAGTGTTTATATGATGACACAAATTAGGATCGATTGACGTATTCAATTGTTTTCCAAACCAAACTTTTGATTTTTAAATAGCACCGTCGGTATTTTTTACTTTATTTGATAGAAAATGACACTCTGAATAGAATGACAATATCATATGTCAACTTTTGACATATGCGCTCAAAAACAAATTGTATTTTAAATTTCAATCTAGGGTGCCATGGGTGTGTTAAAAACACTAATTTTTAATCAAGGATCCTTGGAAAAATAGATTTGATCGTTTAATGTTTTTATTATTATCTTGTCCTGGCCGGTTAAAAGATGCCAAATCGTATTTTCAATCATATCGTCTCAATTTTTTCAAATGGAACAAGGGTGGCTCATTAGCATATTTGGAAAAAGTATTTTTTTACGAATAATTTGATATCACACACGTGGTATTTCGAGTCAAATTGTCGTTATGAACCGCATGTTACAATTTCGAATAAACCATAAGCGAAAATATCAAAAGTTGACATATGATATGTCATTCTATTCAGAGTGTCATTTTCTATCAAATACAGTAAAAAAATACCCAGGGTACCATTTCAAAATCAAAAGTTGTAGTAATTTCCGGTGAAACCGGAAGTGACCGAAAACAATTGAATATGTCAATCAATCCTAATTTATGTTATATACTGACATACCAAATCTCGGGGTGAGCCATTTTTGAAACGCACCCGGTATAGATATTTGATATATTGGTAATAGTCTTTTTAATCGTCGCAACTTTCGATTGCTTGTTTTAAAATCGTCCGTCTGTGAATATACCACTCAACAAAATTGAGAGAAATCCCTAAAATTAGTTTTTCAGAACGATGAAACAATAATCCAAAATAATAAGTTTATCATTTAATTACAATTACTTTATAGGTCAGTTAATATTTAATCAATTTATGTATAAAATAGCATGTATATATACATACTTTTACATTAAATTTCAGACGAAAGATAACATTTTCATTACAAACTGTCCGACATGTAAATCTAATAATTCCAAATTATTAACGTATTTTATTTATCAACTATGCATATGCCAACATTTAGTTGCATCGTATTTTAAAATGGGACCCTTTTCGAGAATAAATATCAATAAAATTTCGCTAGTAAACAATGTGTGAATAAATATAACTTAGATATGTATACACCAACATTTTAAGTAATTAATTTGTTAAATCGTCCTATTGCTGCCAAAAGTCACTAACTAACATTTTTCCGAACAACCAAATTCAATCACTAACTATGTTTTGAAGCGGAGAATCGATTGCAAAAGTCATTACCTACGATTTCTGTCTATTTATGTTTTATTTTATTACCGAATAGTTACTAACTATAACATCTTTATGCAATGCAATTCATTTTTAGACGCATTTTTCTCGGAAGTAATAAAAAGTAAGTTAGTGACTTTTGGCAGAAATGGGACGAAATAATAATTAGGTTCAGTTTGAGGTTTATTAAGAATTTATTACGCTGTACTGTTCGGGTCGCTCTCAAGGGTCGGGTAAAGCGGGTGTGTAGCCGAAGGAAATATATATTATATTTCAGAAATCTGTCTAAGGCTTAGCCCGATCCTGTCGTGTTAAGCCACACCCAAAATTCCATTTTGATTAAGGTTTGCAGAGCTTCAATATTTGCCATAAAATAGCGAGCAATTTGTTACAAAACCATATAAATTGTAATCACAAAACTTCAATTTATTTCCGTATTTAACAGAATTTTAAATTGTCTTTATTTTCGAGAAAATTTAAACCAAACAAGGAATATTTTGTTGATGTTTGACCAAATTTTTAAAAATAAAGAAGTTTTCTAAAATTATGCTACAATAGGGATGTAGTATAATCCTTTACCTTTAATTTCCTTTTTCATTTCTGTAAAAATACCTAGCCAGTTTTACATAAAACGTTAAATGCCGAACGCTTATTTTGCTACTTTTTCGGACTAGTGAAATTGACTCTTAAGCTCTGAAATTTATAAGAATCGTTTTATTTTTAACTGTATTTTCAACTAAAATAAGCGTTTTTTTAATAAATAACGCACAACATAAAAAATAATCGTCCTTACTCCACTATGATAAGCCTTTTCTTAAACAAAATGTGATTGGTGATAAGTATAAAAAATATGTCAATTATTTTTTGTTGCTAATTAACAAGACCTATAATTTATAATGACATTCCTGTTGTTATCAGAAGGCAACAACATAACAATGCAAAAAGCCATTAATTTAATTGTTTATTTCCCATTATTATATATTTTTTAGTATTCCAAGCTAGTAGGACTTAGTTGTTCTGAGATCGATGACAACACAGTGTTTGTTTAACATTCTTTAGTGCCTTCTGAATAAAGTAGTTTTTTAGTAAGGTATTATCTGTGGTGGTATTAAATTTTTCTTTGTCATTTGATTAAAAATTCATTCATGCATCAATAATTTGCAATTTTTCTTTAATTTTGAATGAACTTAAGTTCAGTCTCTTAAAGGGGAATGAAGTTTAATTAAAAATGGCGATATTTCAAAAATTTCCCGATATACTGGGTGATCTGAATTTTATTTGGGAAACTTCGCCAGCATATTCTGCTAATAAAAATATGTAAAAATGTTCGTATAAATGTATGTCCTAAAATGCTTAGTTTAGGAAATACAGGGTGTAGAAGTTTCATTTTTATTTCGATTTTTTCCAAATCATTTCAAAACTAGTGTAAATATTGGAATGAAAATTGGTGTTTGGGTGTTTTTGACATGAAAATTTTATTTCAACATCAATCTGATCCTACTTGTAGGGGGCGCCGCGCCACCTCCATATTTTTAACTGGTTTGAAGAGCAATAATTTTTCATCCGTACTTGTATGAGTACTACTAGTCATATTGACACTGAAATCAAATTTCTCATGTCAAAAAAAAACAATTTTCCAGACCAATTTTCATCCAAATATTTATTTTATTCTACACCCTGTATCTCCGAAACGAAGTATTTTAAGACATAAATTTATATGAATTTTTTGGCCTATTGTTATCAGGTAAATATCAAAATCCATTATTTAGACTGCACTTATAACAGAATAATATTCCCATGACAACAGTACAGTAAATACCAAATTAAAAAAATACAAAAAACAATACCTACAGTAAATAATAAAAAAGAACACTTAACAACGAGACTTAAGGCCGAAATTTCTCGAATACAATCCGGACGACCCTGTATATTATGACATAATGTTGGAATGCTGTAGATCGCCCTGTATATCAAATAAAATCTTTTTATGTTTCTATTTTAGTTAATTACAGAATATTTAATGATCTTTATTCCAGGTACTTAGCAACATTGTTCGCCAACCGCAACAGCCATCCCAATACGCACCTCCGTTGGTTCAACAAGTACAAGTTCCCCAACAGCCTCCTCCCGTCCCAGCCCACCAGTCTCAACCCCCCCAACCTCCCCAAATGGTCCAACAGCCGCCCGCACCTCCGCAACCTCCAGTTCCTCCTCATGGGATTCCCCAACATATGGGCCATCCACCCCATCAACAGTACGACGAAGACATGGGTTACAGAACGATGACCAGGGAAGACGTCGCCATGATCCAAGTAAGGATATGTTAATTGCAATCTTCTGTGAGTATCGCTATTTCAATCTTCTTCAGGCGTCTCTCTTCTCAGCGGATATTAGCGATAACTACAATGAGTGCTTCTCTTTCTACTGTTCTGACGTGTGTTTGCACATTCATTCATGTCCAATCCCGTATGTTTCTCATCCACCACGTCTTCTGCCTGGAACTCGCTTTGCCTCCATTTTACTTTTGATAAGATGTAACATATGGCATTTGCCGTTCCTGAGAATATGGCCAAAGTATGCGGGTTTCCTTTTGTATAAAATATTTAGAAGCTTGTTGGTTCATTCATGAGCTCCGTCCAAGATATCTTCAGCATCCGACGAAATAACCACATTTTAGATCTTCTTCATTGTAGTCACTTTCAGGGTCCAGGATTCCATTCTATATGAGAGCACAGAATAAGTATCCCTGATCATACGATATCGGGTGTTCAATGTTAGAAATTACAAAAGAATTGTTTCATTTTGAGGTATGTGCTACGGGCCTGCTCTATCCTAGCTTTAACCTCTACATCCTGATGCAAATCCTGAGTGATCCAACCTCCAAACAATTAACTAATTATAACAATTAATAAACTTATTTCGATTCTTAGAGAAATTAATTAATGAAAATAATTATAATAAATAATAATTAATTAACAGAATAATAGCTTTAATCAGTTAAACCTATTATTCTGCAGTACAAGTACCATGTGGGGGGGGGCTAGGGCTTTTGTTTTTTAAAAAATGAAGAACAATAATATTAAAAAATACACATATTTTTTTAATAAAACATTTACATGAATTTCTCTATCAATAAATTTGATAGACTTGATTATGGGTTTTTAGGATGGGTAGGTTATGGGTTTTTAGGATGTTAATTTCGTATTAATACCGAATATTTATCAGTTGTCCTACTCTAAACAAGAAAATACCGTATGATTGAAAAAAACGGCATCCAGTTAGCTTGGAAATTATCGATGATATTCCCCGTATATTTTTACAATTAAAATGACAGCGATCTTCATTTCATAGCCATGACTCATGCCTTTTTTTCTATCATATGGTACTTTTTATCTATACCAACATATTATTGTTTTAGGAACGAAGGATATCGGCCGCGTTGATGTCACCCCAACCGACCTCGCCTATGACGCCCCAAAACAACGTCCCGGCGCCGCCTGCCATGCCTATGGGCGCGCATAGCCCCGTATCACCACCCCAAGCTGCGCATAGCGGCCACACGCGAACGGTCAGCGCACCTCCCGCACCACCGCTCCCTCCCGGCCCACCGGCGCCGGCGCCGTCGTCATCGAGTACCGTCACAAACGTCGCGCCGCCTCCTCCCGCGCCGCCCCCGATGAACATATCCAGGAGTCAAAGTAGTGATGGTGGAGAGGTCAATTCGTTAGCGGCTCAGTTACAGAACGCCAGGCTTAAGAGGAACAACAAGGTAATTAAGAGCAAACAATATGATAATGAAATTTCACTTCTTTAGGGTTAATGATCTACCGGGTGGTGCATCGTCGTTGGAAATATGGCATGTATATTCAGCATACGCAGTCCCTTATAAAATCTATACACTATTATATACTAATTACACTATTTGATTTATCTCAACAAAAATGCTTTGTCGAGTTGGTTTTTGTTTTCGGCAATAAAGTCCCACATCAGTCAACAATTTCTCGTTGGTATGGAGAATTTAAACGTGGATTGATTGGTCTTAGCGTTGATACGAGAACAGATCTACCAACAACGGTAGGCACTCAGGAAAACGTCGATGCTGTACGTAAGCTGATCCAAGAAGATCCACATGTCACATATCCTGAAACTGAAGCGTCATTGGACATTTCAAAGACCTCAATTCAAAAAATTTTACATGAAGAATTATCTATAAAAAATTAATTTTTCGCTAGATAGCGCATTCACAGAAGAACAGAAAGCAATTCGAGTCAATTGGTGTCAAAAAAACTCTACACCGGTTTAACGCAGGGAACTCAAAAAATATGTACAGTATTGTCAGAGGTGACGAATACTGTATTTACTCTTCTGAAATCGAAAATAAACGTTAATCGGCTGTTTGAGAATTCCGATATAAACCAAAACCGACGAAAGATATTCCTGAAGTGTTTCCAAGAATGGTGGTATATTTGTCCTAAATGGGTATGTGTAGCAACAATTCTCCTCTGCAAAATCAAAGAACTGTTACTGATTGGTACATATCTGTTTGTTTGCTAATTGCTGAGTTTCGAAAACCCAACCCTCAACGTCGAATGATCCTCGACAAAGGCAATGCAAGTTCCCACACAGCTCGAAAAACAATTTTATTGAAGTTTTAAAGCAAGAAAACATCGAATTATTGGATCATCCTCCATACAGTCCTGACCTAAGACCTAACGAATTTTTTTTCCTTTTCCAAAAATTAAGATTAAATTACGTGGTCAAAGATTCCAGTCCCCACAAGATGCAGTCAGCGCCTTCAAAAACGCAATTTTGAAGGTACCAACAATCTAGTGGAATAACTGCTTTATTTTTTCAAAATTGGTTCCAATCGATGCGAAAATGTATTTCTCTTCGTGGAAAATACTTCGAAAAACAATAGTGTTTAAAAGTTATCTACTTTTTTTGGGACCTCTATATGGAAAATATAAAAAACAACCCTCCTATTTTTATTTTATACATTTTGTATGAACAATAAATACAGTTCAATGCACATCAAGTTCTTGAGTTGCGATACTTTCTTAATCTTAAAATTGGACATGGTCATATAATACTTTGATTAATTACTTAAGTTATAAAAATATTTAGAATCCTATAGGATGTAAATTCAAAATTAATTGGTGAGTTTTTGAGATAACCATTCTTAATATGACAGTAATGGTACATCTGTTATGTATTTCACGATTTATTTTGTTTGTATTTTTTATTCACCAAAATTATGTCAATTTTCATAAAATGTTGTTTTTTAAATTACAGAATACTGTACAACCTACAGAAAATAGTGGTTCTTCAACAAGCAGTGGCGGCAGTAGTAATTATGGTACTTTAGGCAGAGGAGGCGGAGGAAGTATGGCATCTATGATGGATGAAATGGCAAAAACTTTAGCAAGGAGAAGAGCAGCTGTAAGTAGAAGTATCTTTAAATAAAAACGTATTTGCAATATTATTACAGAACTCGTAGGAAGTAGAAATTGGTAGATAGATATAAAAAAGCTAACTGCAGTGATACCCACTCATGGTCAAAGAGAACAAGGTATGATCAATAGCGGCTCCAATTTCGTTAAGTTTGCGCATACCACCTGTGACGTCATACGCCATACAAAAAAATATCCATATTGTTCAATTGTCAATAATAAAAAACCTAAAATAGGGAAGAATTAGAACATAACCCCAAAAGTTATGTCAAATCATCGAGCTTGACATTTGAAAAATTATTTTCACATTTATTGTGTCATCTGTTTGACAATTTGAAATTGGCGCGCGGAGGTTTCCGACCAATGGTGCTGTTTATAACCTGTGACATAGTGACCATCACCACTCATGGTACAAAGAAGACAAGGTAACACCTGCGTAATATCATACCTTGTATTCTTTGTATCATGATACCCTCTGTACTAAGAGCTCCTTAAAGTTTGGTATTGCAAATTTTCACTCTAATCTTTTTTTTATAAAATGTGCGAACAGTATAAAGCAGATTTTAAGAATAATTTTTGTGGATAGGGTGATTTAAATATAATTTTCCACTAAAGTTGTAGTTTTACAAAACGAATTTTACCATAATGAATGCTGTATAGTTTTATTCACGGTAAATTTACTATAAAATGCCTTTTCTTTTTGCCTATAACTTTTTATATAATATAAATATAAAAATATAAATAGTTTTGGACTTTGGATAATAATAAGGCTATTTATTGAACATAGGTGGAGAAGAAAGTACCGGATAAGGAAGAGGAAGATAAAAAAGTGGCCATGTGGGAAAAGACCAACACGCTGCCGGGCAACACTTCCAAATTCAATTCGGAATCGCCTAAAAGTAGCAGGAAACGTTTCGGCTCCGCCTCCGAAGAAACGATCTTGAAAGTAAACGGCCTGTCAGAAGTGGCGCTCTCTATAGGACCTACGGAACTAGAAGCTCTTAAAGGCGAAATAGTTAAAGAAATGAAAAAGGAAATTTCTAAAATGAAACAGGATATTATAGATGGTGAGTACAAAATAAGATGTGCAGACACAGACATGGCCTTTCTAAATCAATGGTATGGGTTTTAGCATGTCAGATAATCATACATGCAGATATCCTCAAATTCAAACGTCTTGAAGAGACACAAAAGTGGGGTTACATTTACTTTTTGCGGTATTGCCAGATTTTCGAATAAAAGTTTAAAACTAAACAAGAAAGGTTTTCGAATAGTTTTGCAACAAGGGTTAAACAAGTAATATAGTACCATATGATGGAAAAAAACGGCGTCAAAGGCGGTTGGGGAGCGGCGATTGATTATAATTTTGGATAGGGTTAATCTCTAGACACGCCGTTTATTTTTAAATTAACACTAATTATAGAGAGATTATAAAAGGATAGAATGTTTCCAGACACACAAATCCATTTCCAAAAAAACATTTTTCTCGAATTTTAAACTAACACCATTTAAAAATCATTTTTACTCAATATAAAAATAAACAACAACCGTCTTAAGGCTAACTGGCAGTAAGTGCCATTAAGAAATAAAAGAGAGTAGCCAAGTAATGACGTCTAGGGCTTGACCTTGCCAAAATTATCATCGTCATGCTCTAGCTGTTATTGGCCCCATTTTTTTTTCGATCATATGGTGGTATAAATTAGATATTTTACACTCCGCTTAATTAAATTTTTATTTCTGCCCCGCTAATCCTTAATTTTACCGGGCAACGGCCCAGATACGTTGAAACACCGGTTACCGTTATGTTTTTCTCAATATACAGGGTGATTCAAACATATTTTCAAACGGGGCAAAGGCACAGCTAAAGCTGTCTTAACCGTCTCATGCATCCGAAATCCGATGGTACGACATCCGAAATTTGAAGTTATCCTGTGAAATAAAAAAAGCCTGTCACATATATCCGAAAGTTTGTTCCGAAATTTGACAGTTTTGACATTTAGACCTGTCATTCCTATCAACAGTATCAACATTAATTTTTGGTTATGGCAGAAACAATCCTTGGAGAAACACTTATAAAAATAACTTCCTCGGCAAATATCCCGAAATTGCCCACTTCCCACTAAACTTGTTTTTAAAAAGCAATGTTTTCAAAAAAAGTGAGGTTAAAAAAACACGATATCGTACAAGAGTTAAACAAAATTTAACTCTGAGTTAAACAAAATTTAACTCTGTCGGACGATTAGTTAAAAATATCGGATAAAAATTGGTGTCAAAATATTTCGACCCATAGGAGCACATCGGATCCAATCGTCGTGTCATCGGATTTCGGATGCATGAGACTCCAGCTTAAGTCTTGTTTCATTTAAGATTCGTATAAATAATCTAGATTTGGTGTTTTTTAAATATGTTGGTATGAGTAAAAACAGGAGATATTAACATTTTCAAAATATACGCATTACATTTTTTTATTGCTAAGACTTAGAACAAGCTCTAATTTAGTTTATTTTGTTTCAGCAATCAAATCAGAACTGAATAGAAGGTAATTAACTTACCGGAAACAAAATCATTTAATCTGCCGTTTTTTGTATAGTTTTTACACTTTGCGTCGAATAATGTATAAGTATTAAATCAAGTCATCAAAAGAAAAACATTGGTAGCATAACGATTCATCCATGTGTATGTTAACCTATCTCGTGTAAATTAATACCTAATTGTAAGGAATTTTTTTATATGACAAAAATTACGTTGTATGTAAAAGTGAGCTGAACACATGTCATTTCAAATGTTACACATGGTAATGCGATTTAAGATAAGTTAACAATAATATTTATTTAACTTAAGTTATTTTAGATAATTTTAGTATAATGTCTTTTAAGTGATTCCTATATTACGTGGTTACATAAAGCAGCAAAATTTAATTTTTTATCAAGGTTTTCAAACAAAATGTGGTATTTTCTTGGGAGTTCTTAGTTATCAATAGGTATTTATTGGTGACACTTTATATCAAATTATAAAAATAAAATCTCTAAAGATAAAAAAAGATACTTAAATCTCATAAATTGTCGTTACAAGGTAACTTGACGCCTTTTTGAACATACGGTACAAGAGAAAGTTCTAGGATTTTTATAATTTCTGTTCAAATTTGTCTTACAACAGGTTTTGAAAGATTGTGCTACCACCAAAATCCTATTCTCCATAAATGAAACTCTTCTGTTTTTCAATATTATTTTAAATAGTAAAGAAACTGCATGTAGAAATACTTATCTCCCATAGATCATACGTATATTTTAATTTCATAAATCTCTCTTCCATAATTGACAAACATGAAAATTACAATATTTATATTTATGTAACCGCGTTACGCTCTGTATATATTTTATTAGTTTGAAGGACTTCCATTTTATTTTTGCCTAATTTACCAAATAACCCTTATATTTAATGATATTTTAAAGAGAACTGACAGCAGTAGTATTTATTTTTGAGAGTTTAAATACGATTTTTGTAGGACCAGATCCAAAATGTACGACTTATTTGGTACTGCTTCTACATTAAGCAATATATTAGCTTGATTTTTTTTTGTTGACGAAAAAAAAGGAAGAATATAGAGGCGTATATATTACTCTTGATATTTCCTACCTTCCCAAATTAGATGCTTTTCTAGTTAGCAAAAGCATATGGTACATCGACTTGTTGCCTCACGCGTATATATGTATATTTTTCATTTATAGAAAGGCCTCACTTTATTCTCCAGGGTATACTTATATTTTTTTGTCAAACAAAATTATTTTTAAATTAAAATTAATATTATACATAGAGTGCCAAAAAGTTTTCAAAAAAGCGATTGTTTTATTGTTGAGTTTTTAATCAAAGTTTATGCATAATTTCTTCAGCATACCCAATAACAGAACAAATATTTTGGTATTTGTTATGTGATAACTGATGATGGCAAATTGCACAAATCCTTTTAAATCTTTGTAAAAAGTGGGGTTTAATGACAAAATATCGAAAAAGGATCTAACGGAACATGCCAGATTTTATAAATGTACAGGGGCTTTCAAAAAATATCAGTTATTTGTGTTTATCATTTTCGCTAGATTTTCAAAAAATCTATTTAAGACAAAGTAAATGGAACAAGAATAATGCTTAATACAAGTTTTTTTCTTGCAGATGTGTAAAATCAACGTTTGTCAGATCGAAGGTTCCAGCAAAGTCGACCTGATGATGGGAATAAATCCCCGAAACCGGTCGTCGGATGGCTGTTTCCTTCGGTCTGATGAACTTAATGCAGATATTAGCACACTTGTAGGGATTAAGGCCTTTTTAGTTTTCTGTGTACTATTTTTATTTTATATAGAACTCTACTTTGTGCTTTTAGCTCCATTTATGGTTTCATATATATGAAGCAAGCTTGTTACTTTAAATGTTTTTTTTTAATTTCAGTTTTCTAAGCTTTTTAATTTCAGTTTTCAAAAATTGATAGTTTGGAAATTAACATTTTTAGTTTTTTATAATATATTGTGGACAGTAAAACAAAATTACTGTCTTTATTAATTATTTTTAATATGCTTTGTCTTATGTCAATCATAGGAAAAAGTACAATTTTTGAAAAATAATCGAAAAACCGATATTTTTAGAATGTTCCTGTATGTTTAAGATACTTGGTCCATATACAAAAGAATGAAATTCTAAACAACTTTTCTGTTTAACATTTTTCGTTATTTTGCCACCTAACCCTATTTTTTGCACATATTTAGAAGATATTTTTTTTTATTGTTTCAAAATAATTCAATAATAAAAAAATTACCATTTATTGCGAACTTCTTTGCACACCCTTTAGTGATGAATTACAATGAGATTACGGATTTTTAATTTATATAGTTTAATAAAATAATGATAATTATATTATTAATAAATTATAGTGTAGAATTGGGATTCATTTAGCAATCTGATGGCGTTTCGGATTATTAGATTTCATACTCTATAATTCAAAACTAACAATTTTGGATATCAATAATATAATTTTCGTTGGATCTTTCTGTATTACAGCAAAAAAAGACCTACCTAACCAACTACAATAGAATAAACAGTTTTCTTCGAATCTAGCTGCATGCAGCTCTATGTTGCGTTTCAGTCGTTTTCTGATATGTTAAGAGTATTGTCCGTTAACAAGTATTTTATGGTCTGGTTCATATACGTAACTTAAATTTTTTAGGGAGGCTATCATGACCCCCTTTAATACAATCTTTGTAAATTCATCCACATGATGCACTATACATTGACATTTTTTGTATCATTCGATAGTGGTTATCTATAATCTATGTATATTCTGTAATTTCATTGTAATTTATTATAGATGTTATTTAATAGTCCCATCTATGGTTTGTATTATTATAGATTATTTGTTAATAATATATTCTATATACAAAGCTCAACTTCTAGGTTGTGACCAGAAAATATAAAATCAAAATTTTATATTTAGCAGGAAACATTATGAAAAATAAAAATATGAAATATTGTGGGAAAATGTTTCTTCAATTATTTCATATCAAAATTTGAGTTAGTGAGGCTAGTTTTCTAATTTTGTTTCTATCGCGTATGATGGATATTGTATAAATGACTTTGAGTGATGACAGTTAATATATTCTATAATTTTATTATTATATAACTTTGTGATATCTATCTTGCATTTAACTATTCACTTATGATTTTAAACGTTAAGTGGTTTCTGTTCTATACGTAACTTTTTCCGGTTTTTTCATATTTTTTACCAATATTTTTTCTGGGATAAAAGTAAACAAGACAATTACTTTTTCTACATTTTATGATCTCAAATACAGTCAAAATTAGCACAAGTTTAGTTTGTTATTAATATTTGATCTAAAGTGTATCCGTATTACTTTATGTTGTAAATTTTACAGTGTATTTCAAATAAAATATTTAAAAAAAGATGTGTTCTTCAATAACAAAAATTTATTTAAATTAAAATAAGGTAAATGTCTCATACCCATGTAATGTCTGTCTGAGTTAAGGAAGGTTTCGTCAGACTAAGTCATCAGACGACATGAGAAAATATCAGACAGCTGCCAATGTCACGTATCCATTGGACAGATTTATCTTTGAAATCAACTATTGGGTACGTTCAGAGATGGTCAGTAGCTGAGAAGGCGACTTCCCCGAACAGTGTTTTCTGACACACAACAGTCAGCCGCTGAGCAAAATTCTCAGCCATTTAATCTGGGCAAAGTCAGCAGTGTTTATTACCCTGATCTGTAGTCAACTGTATGTAGAATAACCTCATTTGCGCGGAAAGGATAGCGTTTAAAGCTTTTCCTAAAAATATTTCTACTACTATAACCTTATTGTTTGTTTCTCAGTACTTTTATAATTTTCCATTAAAACTATAATCAGCCATTGTAATATTTTTTTTAAATAATATTTAGCACCAAGTTGCTGTTTCTTTTCCGTTTAGGAACTACCGCAGATGTCATGAAGCAAAGGCGGCGAAAATATTCGCTGGAAGTTAACTGTTGTGTTCCCTGAACACGCCCAATTTTATTGAACACTATTACTCTAAAAGGAAGGATATTAAAACAATTCAACACATTTTAAAATTATATTGTATAAGATAGTCATCAAAATTGAATGTAAAAAATATGTATCAGTATAAATTATAAACCATGAAGGTTAATTATATCACAGATCTGTTTTTAATACTAATAGACTGCTCAAATTGCAAACATTCGTCAACAAATATTCTAAAACAAAAATGACTATATACATTGATTGTTTATAAAATTAAATTTTATCTTACTTGACATGGTTTAATAGGTGAGGTACTAAATATATGAACAAATGACCATAGCCATGCTCTTCGTATAAGTAGTAAGTAACATTTCCTTGAAACGTTGAATTCCTATTATTCAAAGCTGTATAATATAACTAGTAAAATTAACAATATTAATAATATAAAGAAAAAAACAGATTTAACGGTGATTTCTTACTTCTGTAGCAATACTGTAGGGAATAATATCGTCATCTTTAGCGTGAAGTATCATTATAGGACTATCAACATCTGAGATGTAGAGTTTAGAATTAAAATCCATGCCATTATCTCGTATTGGTTTCAAAATTGTTGCATCAAACCAAGGAAGAAAAGAGTAAAACTAAATAACGGTTAGTGGTAGTGGTTATAAATTCGCATTATATAAAGTTTTGAAATTTTGCATATTTTAGTATATACAGGCATGCCAACAAATGAGAACATTTCTTATTGAGTTTTTGAAAAACAGTTTAAGCAGAGAAAAACAATCGTTGAGAAGCGACAAAACGAATCCCGCCTAAAAATTTAGAGTGGGAGGTAAACATGCTAACTGTCATCTCAACGTGTTTTCAGAATACGGCCAGCGTTGCCATTGTTAATGATAAAGTCCTGAAATCTTACTATTTTTTTATTTGTGTATATAATCTTTTTTTGAATTAATCTATATTTAAGATAAGAAAACTTTAGAAAATTAAATATTTTATCACATATATAATTCAATAGCGGCGCTAATTTGAGTTGTGTTATCTTTAAATGTAATATGTTTTTTTATGAAAAATATGATTTTTTAATATATAGGGTGAGTCTTAAATAAGTGAAAATATTTTCAGGGCTGGTTGACCTCGATAAATGAAGCATATTTTGTCTTTGCCGTTTTTCAAACAAGTCCAGAATAACCGAGATACTTTTAAAATAAAAAAAAAACTTTTTTGCTTACATTTTTAGAACCGCTGAATCTTTTCTGGGTTTTCTTTCTTGTAAATTTAATCTACCACCTATCTCATATTATAAAGATAATATTATGTGTTTTAATAATCTGCTGATGCACTGCAGAAGTAAAGTGTGTTGATGTATTGTGGTGAATTAGTGTTTTATTTTGCTGTTCATTGTTGTTGTAACACCCCAGTTCCAACCCTCAGCTGATAAATATTAGAATTTTTCTTAAAATTGTTTTACTTAAAAACACACTTTCAAATATTAATTTCGAAGCAAACAATATTATCAGATACGATTTGAAAATGTCTCTCTAAAAGGAATAGGTTAGAAATCCCGGTCACAAATCGCAGAAACCCGTTAAATCTTAAAAGATAGTTACTATTCAATATGATTCCTAAATATTTCTAATATACTTTTTACTGAACACATGTTTTTTCAGTGTACAGCTTTTCTTATTTCTTTTCCCTTCATTGAATTTCTGTCAGTGTAGCTATAAACATAAACTCGTGCATAAACTACTATAAACATGCTATCTGTCACGTATGCCAATTTGTAGGTCACAAAACTTGGTCCCCCCTACTTCAATAGTGCCGACGGTTTTTGTCGCTTCTCTACGATTGTTCTCTGGTTTAAGCAGACTTTCTTTGGCATACCCAATACAAAAATCATCGGAATTCGGGCCTTATGTGAACTAGGGGGCTGAAACTTGGAATGTAGATGGAAGTTAAGGATGGAGTTCCATCATGGAACTCAAAAATCCCCATCTTTTCATGATATTTTGACGACGTTTCGTGCACTACAAAACCCCATCATCAATGAAGCAAATCAAAAAATCGTCCGATTTAAATGAAATTTGGTATGTCGATAGATTGGATCAAGACCAACTTGACCCTGTACGTATGTGTTACAGTTAGTTTTGACGTAAGAAACGTCAAAAGTTGATGTCGTCCCATTTGAAGAAAAATGTGGGTCGATTTCAGCATAATTGGGGACGGGCTACAGGATGACGCCCTCGACGTTTCGAATGCCTCTAAATGGACGAAATCATGAGGATTTTTCTTAATTATGGGTCGATTGGAACCAAACTCGGTACGTGGATAGAGGAACCCGAATGGATTCCTCAGACGGACAGACGAAAATATGAAGAAATTTCACTTAAAGTATGGACACATATTGCCCACACAATTTTTTATTGTTATTGGATACGCTGAATGAATTCTTTATTTATTAATTAGGGTATATATATTATATCACCTTTTTCTCAATAATTCAATAATAATAAAAATTCAATTTGTTTTGAAATTGTTGGCTCACCCTGTAATGAATTCTCCTAGTTCATTTTATTGTGGACAGAATAAACTTTATATTATATCATTATAATTTAAGTTAATGTAAACTGATATAAAGAAGAAAACTTGCCTACTAAATACAACTATTACCTGCACTATATAATTAGATTTCATTACATCAGTTACTGAGGTAAAAGGAGTTTCTAGGACAACTCCGGTAGATGTTAAGTTTTCCTTTTTTAAACGTGAAGCTAGCAAAGTAGCTACTCCACTACCTAAAGAATGACCCCAAATAAACATTTTTGATTTGCTTCTCTTCCTCAACCATTTATAAATGTAAGCAATATCGCTCACTATATTATTTTCCGTTAACTCTCCTAATGTTGAATCTGCATAACCTACAGAAGAATTTGTTTAAATAATTGTTGGAAAGTATAATTTGAAATCAAACCTCTATAATCAATAGCAAATATATGGAAAATCTCTCGCAAAATTTTATATAATTCTATAGATTTGGTACGATCAGATCCATTTCCATGCAGATATATCAAAATATGAGTTTTTCCATTAGCTATGATACCATCATAATTATATTCATCATTGTTAACAATATCACTAACCATTTCCTTAGGCAACACTTGCCATATTCCTAATGTTATATTTTCAGAGGTAGGATAGGGTACAGTAATATACATGTTTCTAACACCATTAATACCATAGTTTTCAGGGTTTGTATAGTTTTTAGGTTCTATAACAACTAAAATTTTAAAACTTGATTTGAAATAGATTATGTATATATTATTTCAAATGAAATTTATATTAACAATGAAAAGCATGATAATTCTTTTTTATGCCTTCTACAGTTAAAACAAATAAAGACAACACTTACAAGTAGGGAAAATAAAGCTTTGTTGAAAACCTAAGCTAAATTTGAAGATAACTGGGACTATTACAAAATTTAAAAGAGCTACTAAAAGCAATACAACTGTTCTAAAAACAAAATATATTATTGGACTTCAAGATGAATGATATGTAATTTTTACCAACAAATTTACTTACGTGTAAATACAGCATACCAAACACATTTTCTTCATTTTCAGTATAAATTTCGTGTAGTAAGTTATTTTCTTGTACTTTTTTCATCCAAACTACTAAAAATGGTGAAACTGAAGGGAATCACAGGCAGCTTTCTATATATGGATAATAATAGAAGACGTTCGAAATATCTAAACTTGATATTGGTTGATAGCTCTATTAATAGTAGAACTGTACGAATTAAATATTTTGCAATTTTTTTGGTGATATTTTCCCGTTTGTGAAGTAAATAATTTACAGCTGATTTACAGTAACTTTCTAACCTAACCTTTAAATAAGTGTGTATTACTGGTTGCCGGTTGCCGCTAAGGATAAAATAGTAGTATTCTTTGGTTTGGTTTGGTTTTTATTCCCTATACCACGTAAAGGGAATATATCAGTTTAAGTGAAAATTTTCAGTTCGTTCAGAACGAAAGAATACTACTAATGATGTAAATTAAATGAAAAAAAAACAGTGCACCAGAAAAAATCGCAAATTCTCCAATATTATATATAGAATAATGCTTAGCTATGTCCTTGTTATTTTCCCATAAATGGATATTAAAAAGTACCACATACCTAGGTAGATCACTAATAAAATTATAGTGAAGTCATGGTGTAGTTTTTGAGTGAAATCAGGTGTAGTTGAAGGTGGGTTGAGTTACAGCGCTTTCAGATGGAGCGGACCGTCCGCGCGGATGTTTTTTCAAGATAGCTCATCTGGACGGAGCATATGCGACCCATGTGAAATTGTTCATGAAAGTTGTTCTGAAAGCGCTGTTATCGACCGATATCACGACACTCAAGCCTGCTCAAGCCAACCTGATGCCGTTTTTTCGACCGTACGGAATGTATATTCGTACTCAATAATACAAACAATTGTTCACGTTTATATGCATAAAAAGTAACGACTCAAAAAACACCGTCAAATTAGCAACCAAATATTTTTTCATATAAAACGGTTAATGAACGTCTTAACGCCATTTTTTTTTATCGTACAGTATAATCGTTATATCAAAATAAAATTAATTATATTTTGTATATTTTTTATATTAATATATCAATAGGTAAATACATTATCAGATGCCCAATATATTATTGGGCCTACGTATAGCATTTTTTTATAAATACTTATAAAAATAGTAAGTACTTGTAAATCAAGTATCTTCCTTATCACAGCTGTTTGCTAACTTTGATGTGAGCCTTCAAAAAATTCTTCACCTCCCTTAACACCTAATTTCATAAATTCACTAAAACAAAATGCTCTTTAAAGCTTACTGTTTTAAAGCCCATTTTCATGTATACAAAATTCGCTGTCGGCGAAAAAATATGTGCGAAATTTGTACATATGAAAACTCAGCTCGTTTTTTATGTAAATCTTACTAAATAAAGAACGGAGTGTGTGGGTCTTGATAAATAAAGTAATGATCCAATCTTAAGAACCTGTCATATAAATGAAGTACTGAATGTATTTCCTGCCTATCCTTTGACAAGGTAATGTTATATAGCTAAAAATACAAGAAAATATCAGCTTTATAAGAGGAGAATAATTTAATGTAAATAAATTCCAAGTATTCCTTAATACTTACTTTCTCACTCATATAATATGGTACGACAGTGTCATCTTTCGCATGTAAAAACATAATTGGGCAACTAATTTTTTGTATATGCTTGTCAGTATTAAATAGAAACAAGTTATATTGGAGCGGCTGAATTATTGTTGCCTCAAACCATGGTAGCCACGATAAATACTAAAATTTAATAATATAACAAATATATTTCATATCAATTAAACTTTTAGTTACGTAATCGAGGGCCCGTTTTTTAAAATCATTGTTGGCAACAACAATGGACATATTCGGCGCCAGGTTGACTAACTGGAAGTTAAATTTCGCGCTGGGGGTTATGGGTTCAGGTGGTAACTCTGCTGTTAAAAATGCCAGGCAAAGTTGTCGCATTTATTTATTTTCCTGACATGGTCATTTGTTTTGACATTTTAGTATTGTATTACAAGTTTTTGGTTTAAATAAATAGTGTTGTGATACTTTCAGCTTGAAAATGTTTACTAGCAGACATTGCAATGGAAGATTGTTCTTTTTATCTTGTATCAATCAGTAAAACAAGATAGCTTTAAAAACAAGTAGCCATAAAAAACTCATCACAAGTTTAGTAGAATATTTTGAATGGAAAAACGGTAGTAATGTCCCTTTTAAGTGCTGTTAAGATGATGAGTTTTGTTGATGTAAATAATAACTGTTTATATATTTGAAATTAATTTATTTTTGTTTCCTAAAATATTTTTATTAAAAGAAAATATATAAAAGTGGGCAACAATGTGCTAGTGAAGCCAAAGAATATTGTAGTTTTAAGAACTCTCGTGTGGAAGCTTTAGTGATTTGTCACACCGTGCCGCTTTTGAACATAATCGAAGCCTGAAAATGCTAATATTTTAAATTTTGAGGACTACGCGCGGCGATATTTCGTACGGTGTTGCCAAAACATATTTTATTTCTCGATATTTAAAGAAATATGTATTGATTATATTATATATTTCGTATTCGTTAGTACATGAGGCATCCTAAGGTTATAAAAACGTAGCTATGAAAATAAAATTTTAGATTTTTAATTTTTTGTACCTTCTAATAAAATTACTTCTATTCCAATAAAAAATTAACTAGTATGATTATGTGTTATCTGTGCTAGTCTTAGGAAACTAGATTAAATACGGAGAATATTAATTCGTTCTCTAAGATGAGTACTACTAAGTAATTTTTTAAAATTCGACCCATAAGGGGGTGTAATTAGATAAAGGGGTGTAATTATACAAAAAAATCTGTACCTACTAGGAGTATGAACTTTTGCACAGATGTGGCACATTTGAACATTGATAAGCGATTTTTGGAAATGTATAGCCTAAGGGTAGTGAAACTGGGGGTGAAATTTTGTACAAAAATGTTAGTTCTAGGAGTATGAAATTTTGTACAGAGTTTCCTTAAGTGACGAAAGTGAGTACCTAGAAGCTAATTTTTGACATTCATCCCCTAGAAATAAGGGATGAAAAGATTTGTACAAAAGTTTGTTACAATCGGTTTTAGAAGTATGAAATTCTGCACAGACGTTCCTTATGTAACGTAATTTAGCACTAAGTAGCACTTTTTGGAAATTCGCCCTCTAAGGGTGTGAAATGAGGGGTGAACGTTCTGAAACAATTCTGTTGAAGGAATATGAAAATTTGCACAGAGGTGCCTTATGTAGCGTAATTGAATAATTAGAGTGATTTTTGGAATTCATTCCTTAAAAAGGAATGAACTAGGGGTAAAACTAGGGGTGAAAATTTGTATAATTTTTTATGTAAAATCCGTTCTAGGACTAGGAGTATGAAATTCTGTTCAGAGGTCCCTTAAATGATGAAAGTGAGTACCTAGAAGCGAATTTTAGGCATGCATCCCCTAAAAAATAAGGGATGAAAATTTGTACAAAAATTTGTTAAAATCGGTTTTAGAAGTATGAATTTTGCAGACGTTTCTTTTGTAACGTAATTTAGCACTAAGAAGCAATTTTTGGAAATTCGCCCTCTAAGGGTGTGAAATGAAGGGTGAACGTTCTGAAACAATTCTGTTGAAGGAATATGAAAATTTGCACAGAGGTTTCTTATGTAGCGTAATTGAATAATTAGGGTGATTTTTGGAATTCATTGCTTAAGGGGGTAAAACTAGGGGTGAAAATTTGTATAATTTTTTACGTAAAATCCGTTCTAGGACTAGGAGTATGAAATTCTGTTCAGAGGTCCCTTAAATGATGAAAGTGAGTACCCAGCAGAAAATTTTGGACATGCACCCCCTAAAAAATAAGCACTCCCTATAAACAATTAAAATAAAAAAAAATTGTCTAAAAAATAAAAAAAAAAGTTGGGGTGGACCACTCTTATCACTTAGGGGTATAAAAAATAGATAACCTGGGAATAGGTTGTGACCAAACCAAACCAAACCAGACCTACTGAATATACATATAAAATTTTATCAAAATCGGTCTAGCCGTTTCGGAGATGGTAACAAAAACTTAAAAAACAACCCCTATTAAAAAATAGGGATGATGGTAGAACAGTGAAAATTTAGAGTTGTTTGTATTTTTAATGCCAAATAAAAAAAAATTAAAATATTTTTTTAAAAATAAAAAAATGGGGTGAGCTACCCTTATCACTTAAGGGTATAAAAAATAGATAACAAACTATTTTCAGACCTACTCAATATACATAATAAAACGTCATCAAAATCGGCTAAGCCGTTTCGGAGATGGTAACAAGAAAACAACCCCTATTAGAAAATAGGGGATGATGGTAGAACGGTGAAAATTTAGAGATGTTTGTATTTTTTAAGGCCAAATAAAAAAATATTTTTTTTTCCAAAAATAAAAAAATGAGGGTGGGCTACCCTCTCGGCTACCCTTATCACTTAAGGGTATAAGAATATATAACAACCTATTCTTAGATGTACTGAATATACATATAAAATTTTATCAAAATCGGTTAAGCCGTTTCGGAGATGGTAACAAAAAACTTAAAAAAACAACCTCTATTAAAAAATAAGGGATGATGGTAGAACGGTGAAAATTTAGAGTTGTTTGTATTTTTTGAATGCCAAATAAAAAATTAAAATATTTTTTTTTCAAACAATAAAAAAAAATGGGGGTGGGCTACCCTTATCACTTATGGGTATAAAAAATAGATAACAAACTATTTTCAGACCTACTCAATATACATAATAAAATATCATCAAAATCGGCTAAGCCGTTTCGGAGATGGTAACAAAAAAACAACCCCTATTAAAAAATAGGGGATGATGGTAGAACGGTGAAAATTTAGAGTTGTTTGTATTTTTTAAGGCCAAATAAAAAAATGAGGGTGGGCTACCCTCTCGGCTACCCTTATCACTTAAGGGTATAAGAATATATAACAACCTATTCTTAGACGTACTGAATATACATATAAAATTTTATCAAAATCGGTTAAGCCGTTTCGGAGATGGTAACAAAAAACTTAAAAAAACAACCCCTATTAAAAAATAGGGGATGATCGTAGAACGGTGAAAATTTAGGGTTGTTTGTATTTTTTAATGCCAAATAAAAAAAATTAAAATATTTTTTTTTTCAAAAAATAAAAAAAAGGGGGTGGGCTACCCTTATCACTTAAGGGTATAAAAATAGATAACAACGTATTCTCAGACCTACTGAATATACATATAAAATTTCATCAAAATCGATCAAGCCGTTTCGGAGATGGTAACAAAAATTTAAAAAAAACATCCCTATTAAAAAATAGGGATGATGAATGGAACTGGTGAAAATTTAGGGTTGTTTGTATTTTTTAATGCCAAATCAAAAAAATTAAATTTTTTTTCAAAAAATAAAAAAAATGGGGGGTGGGCTACCCTTATCACTTAAGGGTATAAAAAAATAGATAACAAACTATTTTCAGACCTACTCAATATACATAATAAAACGTCATCAAAATCGGCTAAGCCGTTTCGGAGATGGTAACAAGAAAACAACCCCTATTAGAAAATACGGGATGATGGTAGAACGGTGAAAATTTAGAGTTGTTTGTATTTTTTAAGGCCAAATAAAAAAATGAGGGTGGGCTACCCTCTCGGCTACCCTTATCACTTAAGGGTATAAGAATATATAACAACCTATTCTTAGACGTACTGAATATACATATAAAATTTTATCAAAATCGGTTAAGCCGTTTCGGAGATGGTAACAAAAAACTTAAAAAAACAACCCCTATTAAAAAATAGGGGATGATCGTAGAACGGTGAAAATTTAGAGATGTTTGTATTTTTTAAGGCCAAATAAAAAAATATTTTTTTTTCCAAAAATAAAAAAATGAGGGTGGGCTACCCTCTCGGCTACCCTTATCACTTAAGGGTATAAGAATATATAACAACCTATTCTTAGATGTACTGAATATACATATAAAATTTTATCAAAATCGGTTAAGCCGTTTCGGAGATGGTAACAAAAAACTTAAAAAAACAACCTCTATTAAAAAATAAGGGATGATGGTAGAACGGTGAAAATTTAGAGTTGTTTGTATTTTTTAATGCCAAATAAAAAAAATTAAAATATTTTTTTTTTCAAACAATAAAAAAAATGGGGGTGAGCTACCCTTATCACTTAAGGGTATAAAAAATAGATAACAAACTATTTTCAGACCTACTCAATATACATAATAAAACGTCATCAAAATCGGCTAAGCCGTTTCGGAGATGGTAACAAGAAAACAACCCCTATTAGAAAATACGGGATGATGGTAGAACGGTGAAAATTTAGAGTTGTTTGTATTTTTTAAGGCCAAATAAAAAAATGAGGGTGGGCTACCCTCTCGGCTACCCTTATCACTTAAGGGTATAAGAATATATAACAACCTATTCTTAGACGTACTGAATATACATATAAAATTTTATCAAAATCGGTTAAGCCGTTTCGGAGATGGTAACAAAAAACTTAAAAAACAACCCCTATTAAAAAATAGGGATGATCGTAGAACAGTGAAAATTTAGAGATGTTTGTATTTTTAAGGCCAAATAAAAATATATTTTTTTCCAAAAATAAAAAAAATGAGGGTGGGCTACCCTCTCGGCTACCCTTATCACTTAAGGGTATAAGAATATATAACAACCTATTCTTAGATGTACTGAATATACATATAAAATTTTATCAAAATCGGTTAAGCCGTTTCGGAGATGGTAACAAAAAACTTAAAAAAACAACCTCTATTAAAAAATAAGGGATGATGATAGAACGGTGAAAATTTAGAGTTGTTTGTATTTTTTAATGCCAAATAAAAAAAATTAAAATATTTTTTTTTTCAAACAAAAAAAAATGGGGTGAGCTACCCTTATCACTTAAGGGTATATAAAAATAGATAACAAACTATTTTCAGACCTACTCAATATACATAATAAAACGTCATCAAAATCGGCTAAGCCGTTTCGGAGATGGTAACAAGAAAACAACCCCTATTAGAAAATACGGGATGATGGTAGAACGGTGAAAATTTAGAGTTGTTTGTATTTTTTAAGGCCAAATAAAAAAATGAGGGTGGGGCTACCCTCTCTCGGCTACCTTATCACTTAAGGGTATAAGAATATATAACAACCTATTCTTAGACGTACTGAATATACATATAAAATTTTATCAAAATCGGTTAAGCCGTTTCGGAGATGGTAACAAAAACTTAAAAAAACAACCCCTATTAAAAAATAGGGGATGATGGTAGAACGGTGAAAATTTAGGGTTGTTTGTATTTTTTAATGCCAAATAAAAAAAATTAAAATATTTTTTTTTCAAAAAATAAAAAAAATGGGGGTGGGCTACCCTTATCACTTAAGGGTATAAAAATAGATAACAACGTATTCTCAGACCTACTGAATATACATATAAAATTTCATCAAAATCGATCAAGCCGTTTCGGAGATGGTAACAAAAAATTTAAAAAAACATCCCCTATTAAAAAATAGGGGATGATGGTAGAACGGTGAAAATTTAGGGTTGTTTGTATTTTTTAATGCCAAATCAAAAAAAATTAAATTTTTTTTTTCAAAAAATAAAAAAAATGGGGGTGGGCTACCCTTATCACTTAAGGGTATAAAAAATAGATAACAAACTATTTTCAGACCTACTCAATATACATAATAAAACGTCATCAAAATCGGCTAAGCCGTTTCGGAGATGGTAACAAGAAAACAACCCCTATTAGAAAATACGGGATGATCGTAGAACGGTGAAAATTTAGGGTTGTTTGTATTTTTTAATGCCAAATAAAAAAAATTAAAATATTTTTTTTTTCAAAAAATAAAAAAAAGGGGGGTGGGCTACCCTTATCACTTAAGGGTATAAAAATAGATAACAACGTATTCTCAGACCTACTGAATATACATATAAAATTTCATCAAAATCGATCAAGCCGTTTCGGAGATGGTAACAAAAAATTTAAAAAACATCCCTATTAAAAATAGGGATGATGGTAGAACTGGTGAAAATTTAGGGTTGTTTGTATTTTTTAATGCCAAATCAAAAAAAAATTAAAATTTTTTTTCAAAACAAAAAAAAATGGGGGTGGGCTACCCTTATCACTTAAGGGTATAAAAATAGATAACAACGTATTCTTAGACCTACTGAATATACATATAAAATTTCATCAAAATCGATCAAGCCGTTTCGGAGATGGTAACAAAAATTTAAAAAAAACATCCCTATTAAAAATAGGGGATGATGGTAGAACTGGTGAAAAATTTAGGGTTGTTTGTATTTTTTAATGCCAAATAAAAAAAATTAAAATATTTTTTTTTCAAAAAATAAAAAAATGGGGGTGGGCTACCCTTATCACTTAAGGGTATAAAAAATATATAACAACCTATTTTCAGACCTACTCAATATACATATAAAATTTCATCAAAATCGGCCAAGCCGTTTCGGAGATGGCAACAAAAAAAAATATAAAAACAACCCCTATTAAAAATAGGGGATGATAGCAGAACGGTGAAAATTTAGGGTTGTTTGTATTTCTTAATGCCAAATAAAAAAATAAAAACATTTTTTTTCTTTTCAAAAACTAAAAAAAATGAGGGTGGGCTACCCTCTCAGCTACCCTTATCAGTTAAGGGTATAAAAATAGATAACAACATATTCTTAGACGTACTGAATATACATATAAAATTTTATCAAAATCGGTTAAGCCGTTTCGGAGGAGTACGGTAACCAAAACCATCCAAAACTGTAACACGAGAATTATATAGATAATATTATATGAAAACTGCGGAGTGCGGAGAGCGGAGAGCGGAAAGACTGATTATAGCAATAGATGAAATTTAAAACTATAATTTAAAACTATTCAAGAAAGTACATACAAAACAAGGCAACGCCGCGCGTCTATTCGTTCAATTCCGAGCAAAATAGCGAGGCCCCACGAAGTTGGGGCCTCGCTCGCCAAAGCGAGGCCCCATCGACAGGTCAGATTTTGATGCGAGACGAGACTTCTAGGGTATTAAGATATTCTTTGGTGAAGCTTAATCACGTGACTAAAAGTTTATTTGGTATCAACTGTATATACATATTTTAATGTTTTAATCTTTGAATAAGAAGACTAAGGAAGGAGCATATCAAAAATCTTAGGTACACCGCGATGGGCCTCAAATATGGCCGACTTAAATTCCGGTTTATCAGTGTCGTTCTAATTTTATTTAAAAAATGTAAAACTATAATGTAGGGTAGACGTGGGGTAGACTCAATAATTTGTTGTTTTATTTTACGTTGTGAATAAATGTTGGTAGTTATTAAAATTGTTATAAAAATATATAATTGTAATAAAAATAGATAAGTTATAATAAGTATTTATTAACACAAACATCCGATACGCTACTGAAGCAGGTAAGTCAAATTAACATATCTAAATTCTTTGACATTAAATCTTTGACAAGTAATAAATAAAAGCTAAAATGCAAGAAAAATATATAATTTAGTTAATTTAAGTGAATTTCATAAATGATCGGTTTACTACACGTATGTATATTATACCTATAGTCACTTACTAGCGAAAAGTTGTTCCATTATTTCACTCAATTTTTGCCGAGATCTACCGCACGCTACACAACCAACTATTTTAGAGTCTTTTTCGATAAATCCCGATAGTGTCACTGTTAATTTAAGTTCTGCCACAATTTCCATCTAGATTTACTACCTTTATACAACTATCAGTAGTAGAATAAATAATAAATAACATAAAATAAGCTCCGTAAAGACTGACAAATCCACAAAATTTCAAATCAAATTCAAATGTGTCAAATGAATCGTCAAACAGAACTGTCAAGGATCCCCACCCTAGAGAGCTTTTATGGTGGCTTTTCCGCCCACCATGCATGAATACATGAATAGCATTATGCTCCTTCCTTAGTCTTCTTATTCAAAGGTTTTAATACTTCACCTTAAGATAAGGATGGGCATATATTTCATCTTTTAAATTTGTAAAAGGGGCCTCTAAAATTAATCCTGAAGCATTACCATTATTCTCTAGTTGGGACAATGTATTTGTTGCAACTGCTGTTCCTAAAGAGTGGCCCCATACATATATTGAAGCTTTTGTTTTTTTTCGAACCCAGTTATATATTTGAATAGAATCAGACACTACATTTTTTTCAGATAAACTTCCAGTAGATGAATCTCCATAACCTACAACACTTTTCTTAATATTTATTTCTATTAAGCAATTTTTAAACCTACAACGGTAATCGAATGCAATAACATGAGAGAACATTCTAAATAACTGATATTTTCTATGGCTTTGGCTTCTATCCTCACCAGTGCCATGAAAATATAATATAACAGTATAATTGCTATTTAACAAAGCTTCATCGTAATCATAATTAGCATTATTTCTCGCACTTTCGGCCAATTTAAATGGTAGAATATGCCATAGACCTAATGTTAAATTAGTATGATTGTCAATATCTTCTACATTTATATAATGATTTTTAAATCCTGGAAATGGATACTGTTCATAATAACTTCGACTTATAGGAAGGTTCCCTAAATTAAAAAAAAAGAATATAATAAATAGTGTAGAAATTCATTTTTTTACTTTCCAGTATATGCTTAATCCTTACAATGTGTAAATATTAAGTCCTCTTGCAGTGTCACTGTTTTCATAAAAGTAAGGGGAAGTATAATAAAAACCGAAATAAATGTAATAATCAATGCAACAAAGCATCTAAAATAAGATTGTTAAAAGAAATAGTTTTAAATTTTTTTGTATACCTAAATATTTATAGAGTAGGTAGGTGTATATACTTACATTATCAAAAATCTTTGAAAAACTTTTTTTAACATTCGTTTTTGGCAGGTAATTCTAAAATCGACACTATCGTCTAATTCTACATCTTCATCGTTAACTAAATAATAATCGTTATATCTGGACATTATCAAACATTGTATTTTAATTGATTTGTTGATTTTAATTAACAAAATTTTCTTAACTTTCTTAACAAAATGACAAACATATGACAAATATATGCACCTTCAGTTAATTATTCTATGGGTATCGGTTTCGTTATTTGGGCGTGGCAAAAACTACTAGTTGGACAGGATCGGATTAGGTAAAACTTCAAATAATAAAAGCAAACAATGATTAAAATTTATATATAAAGTTAATGTAATATTAATCCATTAAATGTATGTTCGTTATGCTGTAGCAAACTTATGCCTTGTAATTATGTAACCTTTATTCATTATTATTATCGTTAATTTTGTAGTAGCTGCGTTTGGCTGCATTACGGACATGTCCAGTGTTGAATGACCTTTGAAATGTTAAGTCTAGTTCATACATTTGCGAAATGCGGTCTCTTTGCGTTCTGATTGGCTACTTCAAGGAAGGCCTTGAAAGCGACCAATTGCAAGGCAAAAAGGACGCTTTTCGCAATTCGTGAATCGCATTTCGCAAGTGCATGAACTGGGCTTAACTTGGGTGAGTTTCTTTCAGTTCCAGTTAATACCTTTCATGCTCCTATAACTGCGTACAGCCCACAACGCCTTGGTTTTTTTAAATAAAAAACACTCAAATTATTGATGAAAACATTTAATTTCTTTGTTTAATTTAAAAAAAATCGGGGGAGAAAATGCTGGAAGTACAAATGACACAAAACTACTTCCAATATGGCTGCCTGAACCGCTTTTCGGGGTTTTCGCAACGGCTGTAAAGCCTCCCGTCTCCCGTCTCTTATTCCTCCCTGACCTTTGAATAAGTCCGTGACCAAAACTATGGTTAACCTTAATTTTGTAAATAAAAGTTTTACAAATAATAGCTCTGATAATAGCAAATAATTATTTAATAATGTTTTGCTCTTTTAGATTCTGTTCCAGCATAGGCAAACTAAGTAAAAATTTCGGATGGAACTTTCACAGAAAAGAGATCGATAGACAGTTTAGTCAGAAAATAATAGATGTAAATACAAATGTAGTTAAAGATGTGATATTATATAAATCTGAGAACGACAGGCTTTTAAAAATATTAAATGTTTTTGGATTATTCCAATTTGGTCTTTGGTCCTATGTTTCACTGACTGCATTTAAAACTTTAAAAAATGTGCCTGGGGGAGAATTAGATGAAGATGCGGTATGGTGGAAAAAGATAAATCTAGGTGAAAGTAAATACAGAAACGGATTAACAATTATCACATTTGCTCTGGGTAAGTTAAATTGTTGGTGTCATTTCACTTTTGCTGACTCATACCTGCTATTTTATAGGACCATTAGATTTTATAGGTATATATCTTTAAGTAATGTCACTATCCACTACTTATCAATTCAGTTACCCAAAATCAATGTGATTAAGACTTTCATAATTATTATATCATTCTCTTATTATATCTTCCGAAGAAGGCATTGCTTCAGATACATTATACTGAAAACTGGGAATACAAAATACATTTTTAGTATAAGAATTAAAATCCTTAAGTTATGGAATAAGTCTCTTTTCTTATAAAAAATAATTATTTTCCTCATCTTCCGCAGTTTATTTTTATCTTACAACTTACAATAATAATACAGTAGAACTTTGATAGTTCAGACACATATCGGAACAGCCACTGCCGAATTAATGAAGTATCTGGATTACTGAAGGAACAGTTTTATAATGTTATTGTTTCATACTTTTATTGTATCCAACCTAAACTCAAAATTTAAACACATTTTTATTTAAACCAAAACGCCAAAACCCTTTATAAAACATATTAAAACTTCTTTTGGTCTTATAAATTGTGCTTATTGTTCCTACATAAGTACATATAGTATATGCAACCAGAAGAAGTTATCTTATGGGTGCATTAGTTGTTAAAGTTGGACTAATTAGACAGCCATGTTGTGAGTGTGTGAAGTAACGTCAGACATATCACAGCCACCTAGATTTTATCAAATAATAAAGATCTACTGACACTAAATCATATAAATGAAAATATCTAGGAAAATCTTCATTTGAGGGGTACCTTAATAGTATTTTGAAGAGACATGAATTCCCCATTGCATATCGGAATAATATATTGGGTGTTCAATTTAAAATAAAAGAGTAACTTGCTTTTAAAGGTGACCAATATTCAATATTAATTTTGTCTCACCCTGTATACATCCATCCTGTATACACTCACACTGTATACTGATTCATTGGATCAAGTTTTAATTTGATTTAAAGTACAATAGTTATTTTAACCACATATTAGGCTATACCAGGTAAATTCCAATTTAGGTAGCTTTTGTTGTAATTTAAAAATTGTTCTTTATTTTTAGGAAATGTTAAATATATCAAAAACCTTACATTTTAGTCATATACTTCTCTTATAAAACTCACCTTTATTTTTCTCCTAGAATCCGAAAATCAATTAATATATAGACATCCATTACAAAAAAGACAACTTTTTTTGGGGACACCCTCTCGAACTCTCTGTATTTGTAAAAAGCGGCTTTGAATTAATCTACATATACTCACAAAATTTCATTTCAATACAAACTGTCGTTCTCCTCGGAGCCTCCGCGTCGCGTATGAAAGGCGCCACCCTGTATATATTTAATTTATAGAAACTCTTAGTTTTGAGTCAACCAAAGTGAAGCCACCAGTTGTGGGAATTTTAAGATTTCTCAATTTACATATGTTTCAGGATGGAGTATTTTAACACTGACGTGGGCGTTTACACTGCGGTCAGTAAAGTATATAATATTAAGGAGAGGAGGTCAACAGGCTACAATAGTAACATACACACCCTTTAGTAAAAATCGACTTCTTACTTTGGATCTTAATAATATAAGTGCTAAGGAAACTAGGGCAGCCGCTAAATCTTTTTTACCATTAAAAGTAAAGGATTATTATTTTCATTATCTGGTTGATATGAAAGGAGAATTTAAAAACCCACTATTATTTGACAATACAGTAGGCTTGAAGAGAGTTTGGAAGAAGTAGTTCTAAAATATGTATTAACAGCTTTGGAAGGTAACTCATTAGAATAAGTCTTTCTTTTGGAAAATAATTTATTTGTGTTTAATATACATCGACGTTTCATAAATCACTGTAGTTTTTCTAGTCAACTTTAAGAAAGTTTTTAATCATGAATTGGTTGTATTTTTGTTTAGGAAATTCAGGAATTTTTGCCAGTTCGGATAGTTTATTTATTGACCCTTTCAATTGTCTGAAAAATATGTATAAAAGTGATCTTTTAAAAGATTCCACACACCACAGCTTTGTTGTTATCCACCCTGATGTGGTACGATTTTCTCAATTATTAGATTCCAAATTTTGTTGTTTTGTGAAAATTCATATAAATAAATTTTTATGGTCAAAAGTATTTTTTCTATGAAATAACCCTTGAGCATTTACTCTTTCTGGCTGAACTTGCATTAGATGTTTCTATAGAACCATAGTTTAAGGAAAAGAGTAGTTGCACTCTCGCAAATATTTCCTGCCAGTTTTTGCAAGCTGTCGAATATCCGCAGCTTGCAAAGCGTTTCAGTTGAATTCCGTCCGTCGAGCTGCGAGGTTCGAGCGTTGCGTCCCAGCACAGAGACGGATTGACAAAAAATGAGTGCCTTACTGTGTGCTGCTATTAATTGTAGTAATAATTCAAAAAATTGTTCTTTGAGTTTTTTTAGATTTCCATCGGATTTTAGATTTCAATCGGCAAGCTGATAGTAATTATCAATTAACATTTAATTATATTTGTTTATTTTAGAAGCTGAGATATTATGTAATTAATTAAATGTTATTATTTTTTTTAGCATGTGGGCAAATCTTAGAAATAGTTTTTTGGATATACAGGTTGTCTCAAATATGCGCATGAAAATATTCTTTGGTCAGGGGATTTGCCATAAAATTTTCATTCCAATAATAATTTACGAGATAATTTATATAGATTGGTTTTTGAAACAATTTTAGAGTAAATATTTTGTACATCTAAAGTCTCCGCAAATTATTCATATTTTTTAAATGAAAGAATTTTATAATAGCATAATCTATTATAAATTTAGTGGACTCTATTTTTTATGTTTTTTTTTTATTTTATTTATTTTTTTATTATAAGTGGTCGTAATATAACAATATTCAAAATATTATAGACAAAATATTGAGTTTATATTTGAGGAAAGAAAAGTGCCACACCTAGCTTTAAACCACCGTAAATATACAGGGTGGCACATTATTGCGAGGAAGTCCAATATCGTCGTTCTTGTCGAAGATGTGAAAAAAGTTTTATTCATATATTTCAAGGTTTATAAAGGGTCGTATCCTAAAATATTTTGTTATATACAGGGTGTCACAAAAAAGTTATGGTGAAGTTAATTTTATTTTTTTTTTAATTTTACATCATTCTATATACATTATTCTATATAGGGTATTTTTTATGGCGATCGCGTCACCAAAATCGGAATATTTAAAATTGTATATCTCAATTTTTTTAAATGCAACATTCTGTATATTATTTTTCGGTCAGATGCAGAATTAAAAAGTGAACATTTTTTTATTTAAAGTGTTTCTCTAAATTTTTAACGGTTTCGCAGATATTCGCAGTATTATATTACATATAGCTCTTTCAACAGTAAATTTTTATCAAAGCCACCTAATATGATCTTTGTCTGATATTTTATCGTTGAAAATCCCATATGTAATGAAATACAGAAAATATTTGCAAAACGCCTAAAAATTTAAGAACACTTTAAATACAAAAAATGTTCTCTTTTCTACTCTTGGCTACATCTGAAAGAAAAATAATATACTAGGTGTTGCATTTAAAAAAAATCAGATACAACACTTTAAATATTACGATTTTGGTGACGCCATAAAAATACCCTGTATACGATAAAGTAAATTTTTCTACATGAATTTATTCTGGTGTCCTTGTCATGTTTAAGAAAACATAGCTAAGTATTAATAAAGTTATATTCACTCTAGTTTTTTGCCACTTTTCATATATAATGTTTTTAACCAAAGTTTTAGTAAATAAGAAATAGAATGGCAACACCGCAGTGTGCTTTAAATAGAATCCAGTTATCTACAGAAAATTAAACTTGTTTTAAATAAAAAAAAATAGATTTAGAAATCTCTGAAATAGATAATAATATAAAAATATGTCATTATATATATTTTCCGCATTTCTTCCCATCAGAAGATTTTCAGATACAGAAGAATTGTTACCTACACGAAATGTGGAAACATTCTGTTTTCAAGCAAGTTTTTATTCGATGATCAATTTATTTTATTTTATTTTATTGGGAACTCATATTTTTCTAAATACATATCTGTGAAACTACGGCGAGTGCCACGACTACACTTTGCCTAGTTAATAAACCACAACTATACAGCTACGTCAGTGGTCACAGGAGGCAAGAACAAGGTCATATAAAGTGGCAGAAAAAGAACAAAGGATTTGACAAGGAGTAAATCTACTAGTTTCCTTATACTATGATAGAACTACACTATCTAGAAAGGATGAAATTGAAAGCAACTTTTTTGTTTCAAATCATACGTTAACACTTTTATATAAGTTAAAAAGAAATGCGCGCAAATATGACAACGCTGTTGAGTTTCGTGTCGGTCTTAAGTGGCTTAAGTTTTTTTATGAACAACCGTAAAAAATAATTTTAATTTTAATTTCAGTTCATTGGTTAATTTTTTGATTTAGCGTTTGACATCAAAATTCATAAAATTTTACAGAGAATCCTAATCTTATGCATTTGAAATTTGTTATAGTTGGGGGTTGAAACCTTATATGAAAATATTTATTTTGATATATTGGTGGGCAAAAGAACTCTGATATCGTTATTGTATATATAGTTTTCTTAATGTAAAAACTTCTAATGTAAAATCATCAGCCAGAGACACTATACAGGGCGATCGCAGTGATGGTAGTTTAGATTTTATGGGGAATTGAGGTTTTTTTGAAAATTGTGCTAACTAAATAACGGGACCTGCTACATCGACCTAAAATATTTTCAGCGTTAATGTGGGTTTATATTCAACTGTCATGCGTCGACGTAATTGTCTCTCCAATCAACGTAAAACATGATTTGTCATTTTTGAAATAAGCCAATAGAATGGCATAAAAATGACAATGGATAATGCGTATATGCATATAAACTCACATTTGACCCTAACGCTTGGACGTTGAATATTATTGACTTTTCTGGGCGCATAATCCAAATTTAAACTTTCTATATGCTGAAATCATGATTTCGTCGATGTTCATTCAAAATCATGTTTTTGTGATATTACACGTTATATTTTTTTATATCTGAAAAACTTTTAGAGATAGATGTAGAGAAGTATAATAGAAAAATAATGTTAAATGAAAGAAATTTCTAAAAATGTAATAAATATACGGGGTCTTCCACTTAAAATAATAAAGATGCTACTATTTTTTAAATGAACCGTCAGCAATTATTTAGTTCTCTGGACTGAATTTATATAAGATTCCAAGTTTTTAAAAACTGCTATTACTGGAACTCCATAAACCCCTAACTACAGAATATACCATACAATATCTATATATTATTCGGTGTTCTAACCTACCATCGACCGTAAATCACCCTGTATAATTTTGACCCGCAGACATTCGTCATCGTTACAGTTCATCCCAGTGATATGTGGAATCCTTAGAACTGAAATTTAATAATACCTGTAAAGCATTATTCTTTCTGCAGTTTTACTACCAACAGATTGAAGTTTTTCAATGTCTCTCATATCACCTTTATTAAGTATTTCTAATACGTATCTTTTTCTATTTTCAATTAATCTCTCCTTTTCAAAAACTCTATTTGGTGTTTGTAATCGATGTTTAACTGGAGAAAAACTGCAATTTTAAAGGACAGAAACTTAAAAAATCAGTAAATTTTTCTTTGAAGTGCAAGACTTACCTTTCATTAATTTTATTGCTTTTCTTAATTGTTATTTTTGGTTTGCACGAACTGGCCCTTAACAACTGCTTAGGAACTTTCGAAGACCTACTATTAATTTAATTGAAAATGTATGATGTTTTATTTTTATTAATATGAAAACATTACTTTTTATGATACGATTTTTGGTATCTCAGTTTTGGAGCACTATAAATACTAATTATCTCTTTTGAATCATTGACGCTATGCGGATACTTCAGTTTTCTGAATAAGGGTTTTTGGTAGTTAGTTCTAATTGTCATAGATCTGAAATAGGTACTATTGTGTTAACTGTTTCGAAGAATTTATGAAAATAAAATTACTTACGAAACGGTAGAGAGTGGGTTTAAATCCCTCGGGTCCCGTTTTTCTTGCTTCATCCTACTTTTAAATCTAAACGCAGATATGATAAGTTCTGGTTCTAGGTGTCTCAAGCGCCTAGAAAATCTACTGGGGGTTTTGGTTCGCTCGGATTTAATTTTCCTTTTGATGTTTCTCTGGTGTATTTCAGATTTAACGGGCCTTAAATTTCTCGCCATAATATAATAAACGGATCTTTTTATTCAAAATATCAAATGAAATAGAAAATTTTGAAATATCTATCTATTCCTATAATTGTGACAAATATTTATTTGATTAACTGGTGGCTAGAGTATTTCACACCTGACACTGAATTAGGCTTTCATGGTCGCTGTTTATAAAGGTATTAGGACGTTTTCCGAGTTGTGGATTTAGACCGTTTTATATTGAGTTGGGAACCTGACGTTTTGTCCATCTATACAGGGTTATTCACCTCAGGGTGCATTCATACCATGCTAGAAAAAGCGGAACGTAGCATCGGCGTAACAACCTTGAGTCGTTTTCCAGCAATTCTATTGGCTGAAAATTTTCAAAAACTCAAAACCAAACCAAACCAATCCCATAGAATTACGGAAATCTTTTCAAGGTCGTTACGCCGATACACCGATTACTCCGATACGCCAATACGCCGTCGTTACGCCGACACGCCACAGAGAGAGAGAGAGAGAGAGAGATGCGTTATGCATCTTAATGCGTTAATTTTTTCCGGAACCGGTGCTGTTTTTTGGAACCGGGAATTTCGGTACTGCGCCTCTTAGGAAACCGGGATTTCCCGTTTTTTCGGTACTTTCGGTACAAAACTAACTAAACTTTCGGTACTTCAAAACACAAGTAAAGAAAACAGTATAAGTAACATAAACCAACTTAACTGAATTTGAGTCAGAAGTGGTCAAAAGCCCTAAAATATTGAATTAAAAATGCAAATATCTATTAAAACATAACAATAAATATTATAGCAACTTCAAAAGAGAAAAGAAACAAGAACAATAAGAAATAGTATTATTACTTATTTAGAAGAGTTTGATTTCGACCGCTAGAAAGTATCAAAGGACTTTCTCACGTAACAAAAAAATAATTTTTTAATTATTGTTACCGAGGCCCGGTTCTGTGATGGCCAAAAAGGTCTGAACCCTAATTGGTAGTATTAATTAGGGTTTCCGGAACCGTACTAAAATATTTTCCTTCAATGATTGTGGAGTTCGTCAATTAGCAAGCAAGGGATGGTTCTCAAAAGTAAAACCGATAAAAAATTGAGTTTCAAATGAAAATAATATCAAATTATTAAGTCATGAGAACGTAAACATGAACACAAATAATGAACACAAGCGAAAAAAAGAAAACACATAGGTAGCTTAAAAATTACATCAAACAGCATCAACCAACCTCGAATCCAACTTAACTAAATTTGAAAAAAAAACTTAAAATTTTCAATTAAAGATGCAAATCTCTATAAAAAAGAAGACAAAAAATATACCTAATACAGGGTGAGTTTCCTACGATGTTCTCTATGGGTATCTCTGAAACTACTGGAGATAGAGAGTCGGTTAAATAGGGAAAGAATTGCAGTTTTGTGGGGTCATAAATATGCGCCTTTCAGATTTTTGAAAAATTTCATGGCTTACTAGATATTTGGAAAAAAACAAATTTCGGCTATTTTAAAAATTGTCAATATTTAGTTATAGCCAATTCTTATCTTGCTTGACTAATTTCACTTAGATTGCTTGGTATTCTTATTCTGTTATGATTTATAACTTAAACGGTTCTTTACAATTTACATTACACGAACTAAAACTTAAAAAAATAATATCACTACATACACTTCAAGTTATTTTAGAAAATGTTCAAAAAATTCGCCATTGGTTTTAGTTGCATCTTTTTAAAATTGAATTACTACCGATTCTCACAGAAGGACCGGTCGACTTAATTAAACTTCTCTCGTACCGCCACTTCGAGTGTCTCTCTTAATTCATAAGGTTTTTTGTAAACCTTCTCGTTAACCATAATAAAAAATCTAAAATGGATAGGTCAGGTGATCGAGGCCCATGCAATTGGTCCACCTCTTTCTATCCCTGAGTCTAAATAATTATGATATAAATAATGTTTAACATTTCTTTCATTTTAGGGGGGGGGGTCATAATGAAAGTCATGTTGGAACCACTCTACTGATGCGCGAGTATCTACACGTTTTTGTTCATTTGAAAAATTCATATTTACAATTTTTGTTTATTTTAATTTACAAATTTTGGATGTGACAGCTTCACATTTCTGAGAGCAACGGCGATTGAACTTGTTTCCATGGCTAACTAAGTGAAATTGTTTAAAAATTATAAGAATTAGCTATAACTCTGTAATTTTTCGAAGAAAACATATAGCTTATATCGCTGAAAAGCTTAAAAAATGGCGCTTTTTATGAAGTCATAGCCAACTATGGTTTCCATTTAAAAAAACATATGTGTGTGTCATATGTCAAAAATGACAGGCTTTAGAAAAAAAAACGAAGGACACAATCTCATTAAGGATGTGATTATCTACAACTTTTATCTGAAAATGTTTTGTCTAAAATAGATTATAATGGAATTAGGGACAATTTTCAAAATAGCCGAAATTTGTTTGTTTTTTCGAAATATCTAGTAAGCCATGCACTTTTTTAAAAATCTGAAAGGAGCATATTTATGATCCCACAAAACTGCAATTCTTTCCCCATTTAATCGACTCTTTATTTATATCCAGTAGTTTCCGAGATACCCATAGAGAACATCGTAGGAAACTCACCCTGTATATTTAGCAATTTTAGTATAATTAAATAATAAAATAACATATTTAAACTTCAATAATTGCTAATAAACATTATAGAACCTTCAAAATAACTTCAGAAGTAAAAACAGTAAGAGATAGTATTTCTACTTATTTAGAAGAGTTTGAATTCGACCGCTAGAAAGTATCAAAAGTCTTTCGCACGTATGCAAAACGTTTCGCACGTCTTTCGCAAATATGTTTTTAATTACTATTACCGAGTCCCGAAAGTACCGGAAGAACCGGGAATTAATAGTTTCGAGTCCCGGTTCTTTAATGTCTCAAAAGAACAGAGAATTCCCAGTACTTTCGGTACCGGGATTTCCCGGTTTTGAACCCTAATTGTATGGCTGTCGAAGCGGTAGCGTCTCGAACTCCGTGCGAATCTCCCTCCACTCTTCCTTCGTACGTAAATAATAGATCAATTACTTCGACCCCGCGTCAATCGCCAAACGACCCATTCGTGGACCTACTATTATTTACGTAAGAAATAAAGCCTAGGGAGATTCATTCCCGAAAGTTCGAGACGTTTCCGCTTCGAGTTATTGAGACGACCCGTGTGTGACGGTCTATGACCTGGTCTAATTTTTATTATTGTAACACAATATTTAGTAAATAAACAGTGCATACCAAGTTTTAAAAACGCAAATGCACTTAGAGAAGGCGATGAAAATCCAAGAAAATATTTCATTCCAATCTGAAAGTAATTTAAAAATGGTGGAGATTTATATTCAGTAAAACAAGGATAAAATAGTTGTGAATTTTGTTTAATAGTTTATATTTTAAATAAGTACTTAGTATGTACTTAAATTAGCATTTAAAACAATAATATTTACATCTAGAAATATTTGAAACATAAGCCGTTTTCTACTTAGGTGATTCAGATGATCCAGAATTATTTCAGTTTCTCTTATTTACATACCAATCGGACTTAACAACCGGATAATTTAAAAAATTACTTGGATCACATAAGTGGAAAATAGCTTTAAACTCTATTTTACTTACAGATGGTTGATTGATTAAGGTATACAAACAAATACCTTATATCTATAAATTTCAACATTGCAACAATATTAGTTATATGCGCATAAAAATTTAACAAGATCTAGTATGACAAAATAGTGTTTACCTTGTGTTTTATAACTTTCGTTAAATCGCTTAATTCACGTAACTTCTAATTACAACTGCAAATTAGCAATTTTTTCAACTGCAGACCCTAGTTTTATATGATACTTTTTGATGATACTAGTTGATATTGAAATGAATGAAATAAATTTTAATAAGCAATAACTAATAATAATTATATTTATTTGTATTATAATAAATAAACGGTCATGATTGTAGGTATAAAATAAACAAATTTTATCGTCAAACTAAAACAGAGTAGGACTTCATAACAAAGTTATAGGCGTTGCAGTATATTATCACATTTCTATCACAGCAAGCGCCTACAAATGATAATATTCTTGGTGTAAACATAAATTTTTAGCCCAAAACAGAAAATATGGAGAAGTATAATAACATTTTAGGAACTTTTTTATTCAAACCCTATACATCAGGTAATATAAGAAATTTTAAAACATTTTCCCATGCACGTCATCAATCACATCGAAATTGACACTAAAGCCTATAAACTTGAGTAAATGAAATTTTAGCAAAAGTGTTTAAATTTGTTGACTAATTTAAGATACCAAGCAGCTCTTTATTATACTTTATAGAGCAAATGATTGTAACAGATATTTTACGAGCATTTAGATTAAAGCTGCAAAAATTAGTTTAAACCGATTTTTATTATCGCCTTGTTGGTCACACTGCGCCATGTTCAGCAATGTTGTCGTGTATTATTTGACAATTATCCTTGTGTCAGTCATTATTTTGTATAATATCGTGTTGTTGAATTTTTGGGAGTAATTTTCGTTTTTTGCCGTTTTTCATAGTTTTTTTTTCTTAAATTGTACTTCTAAGCACAAACAGTTCTTTTAAGAACTAAATTTTCGAGATTTTTACTGCATTTTTTGAAATTGTGGATTGAAAATATTTATTTAAACAGCTGATAAAATATTTTGAGCGCGAACAAGACAATAAAGGTCCTTTATTACCCTTGAATGCAGTGAGAGAAGTAACTTTGATTGGTAAGCACATTATACCACTTTCAAGTTATTTCTACTTATTTCAATTTGTAGCGAGTAGCTGCTGCCTTAAAAAAATATATAAAAATTATATACTAAATATATTTTTTGTCACTTTTAAATTAAGATTCATCTCATAAATCCATCACAATCTGGCAGCGCGGTCGCCATCGCTTGTCACTCAAAGTTGATGACGTGCATCGGAAAATGTTTTCAAATTTCTATATTTGAATTAACAGTTAACTAAATTCGATTAATTTATATAAAATTATTTTATAAACCTATACTTTACACTTTAAATCAAGCCATTTCCAAATATATGTATAAAGAACTCAAAATAAGTAAAACGTGATGTAAAAAAATCACTGTGTATCACTTACTGGACTATTTTAAGTCATTAGGTCTTAATAAAGTTTCATCATCAAGCATTAGTTTCACAGATTATTTTAGTAATTTTATATAGAATACTTATTTTAAGACATAAATATATAAAATCTCAGACCAGATTAAAATATTTTTATGCATTAAAATAGTTGTTTCAATACAAGAGCCAAAGATTAATCAAGACTGTTTTGTCTTGTTACTTCACTTGGTCGGTTGTTTATACATAAGGCACACATAATTTTGTTAGGTTATAGCGTTATAGCACAGACATTTTTTGGAAATATTTCTCTAATCTAATACAACATTTTTATAAATATAACATTTTTTTCACTTAAGCGCCAATTTGATAATATCGGATGTCATCTGATTGCTCCTTCATATATTTTCAGTTGTACTTTTTATTTGTAATTTCAGTTTAAAGATCACAAATGACAATAATTTGTTATATGAACAGTGTTAGCACTTTATTTTATCTCACTTTTAACTAGCTAGAACTTTTCATTTATTTGAGTTTTTTAATGATATACACTATTTCAAATGTCACAGATATTGGTATAAACTATATATTTTTAAACGGGCCACTCTGTATATTAGAAGAGTAGAAACACATATTTTCTGATTTCAAAAATATATCACACATGCCCTTTGTCGGTTTAATTTTTGGCGCTCAAGTAGTGTTTTTTAAATGATGGCAAGTAGGTGGCTAGAAGAAACTGCTGTGAGGTTTATTAATATTTAAAAAAATTAGGGGTGTATATGGGATATACATAATCCTAACACAAAATTATAGTACGAGAGCTAGCAACTTCGGGAAAACAAGTATTTTAAGAAAGTCAATGTCTTGGTTTTTATGTAATAAACTTTCTCTTAATTTTATTGCCATTATATTGGCAGTTTAAAATACAGTCTTACGCACTGTCGCCATTTTGAACCAACTAACAGAAGCTTTTTGACATGAAATGTGTAAACTCGGAATATGCTTTCAGTTCAGTTGGTTTCAAGTGACTTGATCAATTATTTACTTGACTGGTGTAAACGCGGTGTCAAACTAAAATAATACAGTGTAATAGCACGACAAAAAAGTGAGACAAAATAAAACGCTGCACTAAAACTATTTTTAGAATGAAACGAAAACATAATACATATATCTATTTACTTCAATATCGCTCAAGTCTTTCTTATGGCTTTGTGTTCATCTTGTTGACATAAAATTTTCTTTCTAAAATAAGTTGTTTATCTCCTGTTGCATACTAGAACATACCCTATGATCGAAAAAAAATGGCGTCAATTTACCTTATAAATTTTGTAACATAATTATAGGTATATTCGTATACATGTAAAAGTCATCGATCGTCATTTCTAAGGTACCTTGATGCTGATTTTTTTATCATGCGATATTTATATCCAGGAAGTGTCTATTGTTAAAAAAAAATTAAAAAAAAAAATCTTTCAAAGTAATACAATATTTTTGTTTATGTATTTCTCTCTCGTGTGCCTAAACCGTGGTATTTTATTTTAAAACGAACCTCATTATGCTTCGTATTACGGCTTAACATACTTAACTTATGCCAAATAAACTTTCAAGATTAAATAAAAACTCTTAAATATAACAAAAATATAATTATACATTTCCAGTGAAATCACAATAAGACAGGTATAGAATGAACCCAAATACTAAAGTCATCAATGCACAGCACTAAAAGAAGCGTACTTAAAAGAAACACTACTCTAGAAACCTTCGATAAAATACAGTCAGAGAAAAACAATTTTTTTTTGAATTTTTTAAAATTGTATTTAACGTCATTGCGATAAAATAATGGTTACACGAATTTAGAATATTGAGTATTTATTATTAGAAAATAAAGACTTTATCATTATACATACCGTAGGATCGAAAAATAAAAACGGCGTCCTGTTGGCTTGGAAATGACGATCGACCGATATTCCCTATATAATTTTACTTATAAAATGACAGACATTAATTGCAAAACCTCTAACGAGGGGTAGAGGACTCAAAACCTCACAATCTTTTCTAAATGTTTATTTCAAAAAAAAATTGTTTAAAAACGGGGCAACATGTTTCGGAAATCAGTTTCATCAATCGGGAATCAGAATCAACATGTTTCAGCCCCATTTTTAAACAAAATTATTTTTTGAAATAAACATTTTGAAAAGATTGTGAGGGTTTGAGTCCCCAACCCCTCGTTTGAGGTTTTGCAATTGAGATGTACTCACACTGGGTTGGAGAACGTTTAGTGACAGACATTACTTCATTTCAATGCCATCCTGACGCCTTTTTTCGATCAAATTATATATCAAGTGTACGCATTGTAGAGAACTAATATCCAATCAGATATATATTTGACAAGCCTAAATGGCAAGCCCATATTTGGCAAAAACAGATAGACCACAAATAACATAGTACAGCACATTCCAGGCATGTATATTTATGTTTACGAATGATCACAGGTACTTGCTTAGCAGAATTCAGTATTTGTAGAAGTTCTATAATTGAAGGTTTTTTTTGGACGTCGACTCGCAAGGGCATTAGACGTTTTGCTAAATTCAATCGAATTCTTTACACTTTTAAAATAATTTAAGCTGAGTTAATAATATCCAACAAAATGCATCCAGAAACTCAATAAAAAATATTCCATCTGTTACAAAATATAAGTACAGTAATACCCCGCTTTACGCGGTTTCGATATTACGCGAAAAACTGGATATATTGGCAATAGGGCTAATACCGGCAGCCCGGCGCCGCGCCGCGCCGGCCTATATCCTTGTGTAGATCGTTATACGTGATTTCCGTTTTACGCGATTTTCTATAGAACACATCTACCGCGTAAAGCAGGGTATTACTGCAATAAGAAGTATACATTATTCAACGCTAAGATGCACGAAACAAAAATGAATACATGATGCATACACGAGAACAGTAATACTACAGTAATTATCAGGGGCGGATACAGGAATTTATTTTAGGGGAGTACTTTTAAGTACTTATAAGTAGTATATATTAAGTACATATAAGTACTTAATATTACAGTGATATATCATTTGGTGCATCTTGGCGATGAATAATGTTAACTAATATAAATTGTTAACTAAGGCTCGACAAATATAGGATGATATGCAAATTTCTTGATGCAACGCTCCTTCGTCAATTTAAAGTCAACTAAATAAGACAGTTTTATGGTCCGTATATTGTCTATAAATTCTTTTAGAATTTTTAGCTGTGAATAGTTAGTGTGTAAATAAAATCGAATTTTAAATACTATTTGTTTTAATGCCCCTAATTTTGTTATACGCTATTTACAACAATTTAGTTGTCAACGGCCAAAGATACCTCGATTATAAAACTGTTTAGTCATCTACGGTATTATTGAAACTTAACACTGCTATTAAAAAATGACTTCCTAAATTTGGTAGTGAGATACCAACCTGTAATATTAAGCTTTATTTTATAAAAAAAACTAGCCTTTTTCTGTATTTTATCGAAACCAGTAATAATTTCTATTATCACGATTCATCTTGAATATCTTCTTCGTTGTCCATTTTCGATGTGCCCGCGTTGCACATGCGACACTTACAACACACTATACAGGGTGCCGCGAGTAGCAGCAAAGGGGACGCGACCAGAAGCAATATACCGAACCCCGCGAATATACCGATCACTTGTGTCCTGTGCCAGATGACGGAAGCGCGCGAGTGTCCCAGCTTGTTCTTGCAGGGACCTTTGTCGTAATGGCGTAAAAGAAAATCGTCCTGAAAAAGAAATACAGAAATATAGGAATAACATACCGATTTGGTCATTTTAGAAGTGTGGTCTGGATTTTTACGTGTGATGTAGGCAGCTTAATGGAAGACCAAATTTATTAAAAAGAGAAAAGTTGTGTGTGCACTATGTGCGCATATTTGAAGTGGAACTTCTTACTAACAGCTATTAAATTGAAGGATTTGAAGGATATATATTTTTTATGAATGCTTTTTATAAACTTCAAAAAAATGGAGTTAATATAAAACCGTATACTATTCTAGTTTTATAATTTTATGTTTTTTAATTTTTAATAAAAAACGATAATTCCATCATTCGGCCGGATAGCCTGGCAGTTGTGGCCATTAAACCAAAATACTACTACATCTATATCTCTGACTACTACTAACTGCTACTAGCCAACAATTTTTGTTTTGTGTGGTCTGTTTTTGTTTAATGTTTTGTTCATTATTCATGTTGAGGATTTATTTTTAAATTAATGTTAATTGTTAGGCAAACTCATAGAATATGTATATCTTTTGCATAATCAAAATTCTAAATTACTCTAAATTTTACATAATCAAATTGTCACTCTAAATCACTGTCTTTTTTAGACAGATGTGGTCATTATTCAATTCATTACAACATTTGGCAAAACAAGTTGTCATTATTCAATTCATTATTCGAATTCTCAGAATGTTGTTAACAAAAGTTTCATCTTAAAATTTTAATCAACCACAGTTGTTTATCTCCATCATTTGCCGAATTAATAATACACAACTTACAATACAGAAATTACAGTTCAATTACAAACAATTCATTATTTATAGTGATTTACAACAATTTTATTAAATTATACGAATATTCTCGTTGATTATTGGATTGAAATAAATATGACAGTGTTCTCCTATGAAAATGCGACTTACTAACTTTAAATTCTAATTCTGAACTGGCAAATGAGCTAGATGCTTTACTCAGACCGTTATTCAGAAGCCACAAATCTATCGATGAAAATATGCATGAAAATTTACTTCCTAGCACACAAGGTTGTACCATATCAAGTTTATTTTAGTGATTTTCTTAGCCGCGTATGGCACAGATCGTTACGCAGTGTTGCCACAAGCGTATTGCCGGATTTTGCATCAACAGTTCAAACCGCACAAGTAGGCGTTTATGGAAAAGGTTGCCTCTAGGGTTGGAACCTTATTTTTCAGAATTGGTTACTCATTCTACTACATATGTAATAGATTAGATTTAGCTTATAATATATTATCTTCATTTCAGTAGTATACATGAAAGTTTTTAAAATAGTTTATATTTTTTCTACACAAATTTTCCTACAAATGAAAAAACCGGCAACACTGTATGCCGCTTTTGATTTTGTCTCTCTGTTAGTCAACCGTATTTATATTATTCTCTCTCTTACACGTTAAAATCCAGACCACATTTCTAAAATGACCAAATCGGTATACTGTTCAATGGTAGGGACTGGGGTTCAAAACTTGAAGAGATCTCGAAGATATACGGAATAAAAGGAAAAGCGTTTAATCAAAGTGTAAATATTTGTCTTTTTAAAGGACTAGGAATTTTCGTATTGGTAAAGTTATATCGCATTTACAGAGATAAGTAAGGATTTATATTATAAATAGGACAGGAGTAATTCTTCAACTGACTTTTAAACTGTGTCTATATTTCATACTTTTGTACAGAACTATCAACAATGATTGAAATATTTGGCTATTTTGGTTTTGCTACTTTGGTTAGCAATAACTTGAGAAATTCGAATATTTATAGCCTGCTATCACTAGCGTTAAAACAAACCAAAAATAGATAAAGAAAAAACAAATAAATTAACGTTAATCAATTGAAATAACTTGCTAAAATGTTTCGATCGATAAGTCTGTTTTCAACTATGCTAATATTATTTTTTATCCATGTCTGGATCTAGTTTCTAAAAACAGATTGCAGTATGTACAAAACGTTTGCTGTCGCTTCATTTTTGGTCTGAGGAAGTACGATCATATCTCTGCTCGTATTAATGAATTAAAGTGGCTTAAGATTTCAAACACTGTCAGGCTGCATTTCGTCATGTTTCTGTTTAAAGTTCTTAGCACATCCACCCCTATATATCTGAGTGAAAAACTTATTCCTCGTAATGTCATGCATAATTGTAATATAAGACACCATTACAGTTGAGGGTTGGAACCTTTGGTGTTACACAGCAAAATAAAAACACTAAATCACCACAATACACCAAAACACTTTTACTTTTACACTGGACGCGCGTTTCGCTAACCATGTTAGCATCATCAGCAGATGATTATAAACTAAAGTACAATCTACAAGTTGAGCGTTTATATACTCGCTCAGTGGGCACCGAGTGGGCGTGGCAAAATCTAGCCAACCAAGTCAGAGCCTACTGAGCGTAACAGTTAGATTTCCGCCACTAGAGTAGTAGGAACAAAGAACTTGAAGGAATTGGACCGTTGACTCTGTTCATACTATCTTTACATTTATTAATTATGATGCTTTCATATGCATCTAATTGCCTGTAATTTGAGACTTGTTTAATTAATTTTAAATTATTAAGATCTATACAATGTTCATTATCAACAATATGTTCGGCAACGCAAGATTTATCCGGTCTACCATATCTTATCTGAGCTAAATGTTCTTTAAATCTAGTTAATATTGATCTCCTAGTTTGCCCAACATATTTCTGATTACAATCTTTACAAGAAATTTCATAAATACCCGACCTTTCCAGTGGAGGTGTTTTATCTTTTGGATTACCTAATAATTGTTGTAATTTATTATTAGCACTATCACAAGTTTATAATTGACATTTTTAAAAATTCCTTTTTAGACCACAGGATAACTCTCTATCAAACGGTATCGAAAATATTTAGACGTATCTTTCTCCACTTGAAAAGTCGAATTTTCATTAACCTATACCTACGTTTTCTAATTAATTTATCAACTAGTGACGGAGAATATCCATTACACTCAGCTACATTCCTAATGTAATCTCTTTCTATTTCATATCTTTCGTTGGAAAGTGGGGGAAACTAAGTAATCTATGAACTAAGAAATTTAAACTAGCCATTTATGTTCAACACTATGATGTGATTCATTAGGAATATATCTGCGTGTGGTCGTATTTTTCCTATAGATATCAAATTCAGGCAATTATTAGTATTTCTAATAACTAATACATCTAGAAATGGTAATCTGTCGTTGTTCTCAATTTCATGCGTAAATTTAATGGAAGGAAAACGATTATTTAACTTAGAAATAAAATTATCTATAGTGTCTGAATGTGTATCAAAAACAGCAAAAATATCATCCACATACCTAAACCATACTCTTGGAAAATACTCAAACTGATTCTTAGCCTCCACTTCAAACCTGCTCATGAATAAATTAGCCAAAAATGGAGACAATGGATTACCTTCCCGCTGTTCAAAAGTTGTTATTAAATTGAAAACAATTTTGTTTCATACATAACGATGTAAGCTCAATATATTCACTCACAGTTTTTGTTGTCGAGACCATTTGCGTTCAGTAATTCCTTTAAGTAGCCTAAAGTATGTGGAATTGGAACACTTGGGAACAACGAAGATACATCAAAGGGACAAAATTTCACCTTCATGCAATGTTATATCTTTAATTTTGTTAATGAATTCAATATTATTTTTAACTGAGAAAGAAGGTTCATGATCAGGTAAATTTTCGAACTCCTTGATAACCATTTTGCCAAATTATAGAGTCGGCGAACTACAGCCGAAACAATTGGGCGCATAGACTTGTCCGGCTTATGAATTTTTGGCAAAGCATACAATTTTGGTAATGAGGATTGGATACTTGCAATTTCCTCTTTAAAGAAAAAAAAAGAGAGGAAAAGATTCTTTAAAGAGGAAATTGCAAGTATCCAATCCCTCATTACAAATTGTATGCTTTGTCTGGCTGTAGGTTCGCCGACTTATAATTTGGCAAAATGGTTATCAAGGGAGTTCGAAAATTTACCTGATCATGAACCTTCTTCTCAGTTAAAAAAATATTGAATTCATTAACAAAATTAAAGATATAACATTGCATGAAGGTGAAATTTTGGTCTCCTTTGATGTCTTCTCGTTGTTCCTAAGTGTTCAATTCCACATACTTTAGGCTACTTAAAGGAATTACTGAACGCAAATGGTCTCGACAACAAACTGTGAGTGAATATATTGAGCTTACATCGTTATGTATGAAACAAAAATTGTTTTCAATTTAATAACAACTTTTTTGAACAGCGGGAAGGTACAGCAATGATCAATCCATTGTCTCCATTTTTGGCTAATTTATTCATGAGCAGGTTTGAAGTGGAGGCTAAGAATCAGTTTGAGTATTTTCCAAGAGTATGGTTTAGGTATGTGGATGATATTTTGCTGTTTTTGATACATTCAGACACTATAGATAATTTTATTTCTAAGTTAAATAATCGTTTTCCTTCCATTAAATTACGCATGAAATTGAGAACAACGACAGATTACCATTTCTAGATGTATTAGTTATTAGAAATACTAATAATTGCCTGGAAAAAATACGACCACACGCAGATATATTCCTAATGAATCACATCATAGTGTTGAACATAAAATGGCTAGTTTAAATTTCTTAGTTCATAGATTACTTAGTTTCCCACTTTCCAACGAAAGATATGAAATAGAAAGAGATTACATTAGGAATGCTAAGAGATCACATATGTCTCCGAACATGCAAAATAAATTAATTAGAAAACGTAGGTATAGGTTAATGATTTCTGAAAATTGACTTTTCAAGTGGAGAAAGATACGTCTAAATATTTTTCGATACTGTTTGATAGAGAGTTATCCCGTGGTCTAAAAAGGAATTTTTAAAAATGTCAATTATAAACTTGTGATAGTGCTAATAATAAATTACAACAATTATTAGGTAATCCAAAGATAAAACACTCCACTAGAAAGGTCGGGCATTTATGAAATTTCTTGTAAAGATTGTAATCAAAAATATGTTGGGCAAACTAGAAGATCAATATTAACTAGATCAAAAGAACATTTAGCTCAGATAAGATATGGTAGACCGGATAAATCTTGCGTTGCCGAACATATTGTTGATAATGAACATTGTATAGATCTTAATAATTTAAAATTAATTAAACAAGTCTCAAATTACAGACAATTAGATGCATATGAAAGCATCAGAATTAAATGTAAAGATAGTATGAACAGAGTTAACGGTCCAATTCCTTCAAGTTCTTTGTTCCTACTACTCTAGTGGCGGAAATCTAACTGTTACGCTCAGTTGGCTCTGACTCGGTTGGCTAGATTTTGCCACGCCCACTCGGGACCCACTGAGCGAGTATATAAACGCTCAACTTGTAGATTGTACTTTAGTTTATAATCATCTGCTGATGATGCTAACATGGTTAGCGAAACGCGCGTCCAGTGTAAAAGTAAAAGTGTTTTGGTGTATTGTGGTGATTTAGTGTTTTTATTTTGCTAAGACACCATAATCAACTGACCATGCCTCAACATAGATCCGCCCTTTTTCAAAGAAGTTTTACCTATATGGCCGTCACTAGTTACAATTCCCTTGATAATCATTTCAAACAATGTAATTTTGGTCAATTGCGAAAAAAATATAAAATGTTTCTTTTGTCTTCACAGGAATGATGATGGTTTTGTATTTTTTGTTTATTTTTTAAAAGTATTTATTATGCCATGTGTATAAGAATTAACTATGTATATTTTTTAATTTGTTAGTTTATAGAACATATTTTTTTGTCTTTTGAACATATTTTTCAATAAATATCTTATGGCAGCTATGGGTGGTTAAATGTAAGAATAACTTTTTTTGTTAAATTTCGCCACCCTTGTTGCATGATGTGTAATAATATATGTAATATTACACATCTTTTTTTCTTCAATAAAGACGATTATTATTATTATTAGTATTATTAAGTTGTTTCAGCATGAGTAGCAATTGCTAAATCCTAAAATCCTCTAATACAGTATTGCCAACTATTTCAATCATCGTTGATGGTTCCGTATTTATGATCACAGGTATTTAAATATATAAATCATTTGAAACTTACGTCTAAACTAGCTAGACAATACCAACAAAAAACGTGTTTGCATCTTTTACACATCATTTGGGCACAACCTTCGTCCTTTTCTATGGGCACCCCGCACATAGGGCAACATTTTATCAGATCTGAGTCGAAAGGAATGCCTGCATCAGGTGCAGCTTTTCCCTCCTTAGCCAGTCGTTTGCCGTGATCTTCACAGGTTACACCTATAGTTAAAACGTTTATCCTTCATTAGTAATCTAAGTACCTATGCATATTTATATTTAGGCAGTTAGTAACGGTCATAGCCTGTAGCTGTATTAAAAATCTAATCGAATTATTCTAATGCTAATTATTATTCAAATTTGTTAATAAAATATGATCAAAAATACACTATTGTACAGGGTGGGTCAAATTCGACGCTTTTAAATGGAAACACCCTTTTCTATAGGAGATAGACAAAAACTAATATCGGTGTCTGCAGCTGAAATTTTGTCAAAAACATGATGGTGAAAACCGCATATCGATATCTGTTACCGTTTCGGAGTTACAGGGGTGTGTTTTTCAAAATATGCATTTTTAATAAATCGCTGTAACTTTTGCTGCTATGGAAAATTTTGTATTTTATGAAAACATTTCCAAAGTACCTTTTTACGTAGAATTTAATGGTTTAAGTATATTTTTTTTTAAATTAATAATTTAAGAATTATCAACAGAAATTTTAATTTTTTATATGGGACACCCTGTATATTTTTAGTTTATTGAAAAGAATTTAAAATTACCTTTCCAAAAATATAACACACTTGATATTTTGCTCGATTACTCTTCGAGATATAGAGTATATACAAATTTGTCCGCTTTAAATGAGTAGGCTTTGAACGGCACCGGCTATAATGCAAAAAATTCAAGCTGTTAGCATCAATTAAAACGAAAATAATATTTGTTATGAGAGATGCAGAATTTTATAACAATTTAAAATATATTTAACCAACATCAACACATTTAAACTATATGTAATAACAATAAAAATAAATAGCAAACCAAGACATGAGATTTTGCTACAGGTGTTCGACATATCAACCGTCTTTTATTATGGCACAGACGGTGACAGACGGGGCAGTTTTTGAACATTTCTCGCGGAATTCATTAACTCAGTGGGGGTGTAAGATACCCTCTCATAACTGCTAAGTATTTCAAATTCTTGTCTAGATTATACGGAATAAGGAACCTTTATTCTTCCGCAAATATATCCATAGGATTAGATCGATGGGCACTAAGTCAGGCGGCCTCGACGGCCAACGGCTGGGATCTTGGTTAGCTATTCAATTATTCTTGAAATTGGCTGCAAAAATTTGCTGATAACTTCAGCGTTCAGTGGCGGTGCGTCGTCTTGCTGGAAAAATATGTTTTCGAGTTCCATTAAGGGCATATCATCAATAAGGGGTCCAAAGCCTACTAGTTAAAAGTGGCAAACTTTTAAAAATTCTGTATTTCGAAGGGGATTATAACAAAATATCAAGTGTGCTATATTTTTGGAAAGGTAATTTTAAATTCTTTACAGTTAATTAAAAATATAGAGGGTGTCCCAAATAAAAAAATATTTTTTCTGTTGATAACTCTTAAATTATTAATTTAAAAAAAATTATACTTAAACCATTACATTCTACGTAAAAAGGTGCTTTGGAAATGTTTTCATAGAAATACAAAATTTTCCATAGCAAAAAAGTTACAGCGATTTGTTAAAAATGCACATTTTTGAAAAACACCCCATAACTCCGAAACGGTAAAAGATATTGATGTGCGGTTTTCACTATCATGTTTTTGATGAAAATTGAGCTCCAGACACCGATATTAGTTTTCGTCTATCTCCTATAGAAAAGGGTGTTTCCATTTAAAAGCGTCGAATTTGACCCACCCTGTACAGTGTGTCCCATTTTGGTTGAAATCATAGGGTATCTCCGTTATTAGTGAAGATAGAATTATGCTCAAAAAATGACTTATTATCTCGCTAGATAGACTATAGATGTGACCACCGTAGTACTGGATCAAATTACTAACCTTCGTGCCATTCCAACTTGCAGCTACTGCAAAAATCAGTCGAACACGTGGGACAGGACACGCTCTGTGGTGAGCAAGGTTGCGAAGGACACAAACTGCAAACTGTTTCACATCCCGCTCTTGGACACCAACAACGGCTTTTATCTAATTCTATTTCTGTAAAAAAATCTTAATTTAATCAATCTGTTATATGGTCTACTATTAAGCGTCGCAAATGAGATTTCTGTGCTGGCTAGAATGGAGAAGGTAGAGTAAGTGGGAGGGGGTTATTTACCATGACCTAAAAGATCTATTGTGTCCCTTTCTTAAATAATAACTTATCATCATATAGTCTATAAGACCGCGCACATACGGGTCGCCTCAAACTCGAAGCGGAAGCGTCTCGAACTCTACTTCATACGTAAATAATTGTAGGTCCACGAACGGGTCGTTTGGCGGTCGATGCGGAGTCGATGTGATTAATACTATTAATTACATACGAAGGTAGAGTGGAGTCTCGCTTGGAGTTCGAGACTCGTTAATTATTATGTGTTATATGTCCACCCTCTCCATTTTCATAGTTAACGTATAAAAAAATACAAGAAATAAATATTTAGATTTTAAAAATAGAAAATATATTTTAATGACAATAATACCAAGATTTTACACTAAGAATCGGTGAAATTTATTTGAAGGCATTATTTTTTTATAATTTAGTTTTTAATTATTTAATAAAAATATTTCGCGAAACAATGCATAAATAAAATATAAAAATTCTAGTAGGGAATATTTGCATTATACTTTATTTCCTATAATGGCTATTTTTCAAATATTTTGTATAAGGCCAATTAAAGTTTTATTACGTTAAAAAACTCCAAATAACATGTTTATCCAATTTTTATGTTCTGAAACGCAAACAAATGTAATTACAAACATAAAGGTAAACAAATCAAATACACGATAAAATCAAATGTAAGTAAACAAAATAATGATAAACAAGCGTATATTTTATATAAGGCGTCCGTTGCAGATCTAGATAATACAGGGTGGTCCGAATTGTATTCGGGAGACTTTGTACGCAAATTCTGCAGATAAAAATAAGTAAAAAAAAATCGTATAAATTTATGTCCTTAAATTCTGCGTTTCGGAGATACAGGGTGTAGAAATTTTATTTTTAAAATAATTTCTGAACTAATGTCGATATTTGGATGAAAATTGGTGTTTTTAGACATGATAAATTTTATTTCGATGTCAATATGATTCCTACTTGTAGGGGGCGCCACCAACATATTTTTAACTGTTTTGAAGAGTAATAACTTTTCGTCTGTACCTGTATAAAACCACTGTGTGAAAAAATATACATTTCCGTCACTTTTTACGTAAAAAACACCTTTTGATAAAAATCGCTACGAGTAACTTCAGTTCAACTTACCTCTATTAAGTCTATATTTCTTGTGTTTCTCTAATAAATCATTGCCAGCCAGTCTTTTTATCTCGTCCTGCTGCAGGACTCCCTGAGCAGGGCATTGTGCATCGGGGCAGGAAATATCATAGGCTCCCTCCGATATTTCGAATTCTACATAGGCTTTCATACACTGCAACAAAAATTATTCTATAATTCAATAAAGAAATGTATTAGCACAGGATGCAAGATTATTATGCTCATCATATTTTTAATTAAACTATAAGTTTTACGTTTATTTATGAATAGGGGATAACAGGATGCCAAATGCCAATCAAAAAGTTGCCGGAAATATGTTTAATTATTAATAATAATAATTGATTTTGGAGATGAGATTACGTTCATAACATTCATTGATCATTTATATATCAAATTAAAGTTATTTTTATTCTATGCATGATGTTATAATGGAAAGATCATGTTGGGGCTATCTCTGACAGACAAAGTACCGAATATCGAAGTACGAGACAGAAAAAAAATCGTGGATGTGATAGAGAAAATAACTACTTTGAAATAGAATTGGACAGGGTACATTGCAAGGCTAAACGATGACCCATGGAGGTAGAAAATAATAGAATGGAGACCAAGACATGATGCATTCAGGAGCAGAGGCTGTCATCCATTCAGATGGCATGAAGACTTACGGCGTATTCACAGTAACTGGATGCAAATAGCTCAAGATAGGGAGTTATGGAAGCAAACGAGGGAGGCCTACGTCCAGCAGTGGACTTTAGTGGTTGGTTAATTATGATGATGATTATGTTATAAGGTTGCCTATGAAAAAGCAATAGGGGTTGCCACGGTTCAAATAGTAGAAAGAACAGTTTTATACGGGTTCGGCAATAGTGCGTCGGGCAACTGTAGCTGCTATAATACAAAACTAATATTTTGTGCTAAGCTAAAGTATGTGTCAGGATGTATTTCAGGAAAATAATTTAACTTCTACAGGGTGGCTCAAAAAAGTGTGAGTGGATCGGGATGATTTTTTTAAATGAAATATCCTGTATATTATTGCATTTTTGGCTTCCTTTTTGACCACTTTACACAATCCTAAGATATTATCAAAATGGCTTTGGTCATGCATTTGCCCATCACTAGATGTGACAAGAAATATTTTTGGTAGGTCAGCTTCGGGAGAACATTTTATTCTTCAAAACTATTAGTTCGGTCATTGGGGATTTTTGCTTGGAAAAGTCCGGAAGTTTTGCAACTTTGCAGGTTTATAGGTTTTGTGGTCCCTAACTAAAATCCATAAAATGCACATTTCCAGACTTGCCGCCGGCGCCGCCATCTTGCCAAGATGGCGCCCAAAATCGGTATTTTGTGAATATCTCGAAAACTATGCGTTTTCCGCGAAAATTTGAAGAGAGCAAAATTAAAGAGAATAAAATTTCCTATAAAAAACTTTTTTATGAAAATTTTCGCTAACGTCAACCGTTTAGGCACAAAATCCCTGGAAATTTTACAATTTTGTGTAAAATATGATATACTAGTTGAAGCCTGGTGCATCCGCCACGACATCAACATGAAAAAAATGCTTTTTTTTTAATTAAATGAAAAATATAAAATCCGGCGACGACAGTTTTTAGAAAAGCCAATTAGCTATTTTTTAGTAAAAAAAGCAACTTTCTAGAGCAAGTCGTTACTTCAGTAGAGACGACACAGATAAACATTAGCATTTTATACATATATGTAGATTATGTATAGTCGATTTTCCGAAATCAAATGTCGATTAGGGTTCACTAAAGAAACCCACAGAAACAGAAATTATCACAGAAACAGTCTTAAGACGAACGTCCATTCTCGTCAAAAATTAAATATTAAAATAAAAAATCGAAATAATATGGTTTGAAGATTATGATATAGATATTTGGTATTACAACGAAATGCTCCCTTCTTGAAGAGTTATATAATTTATAATTACAATGAATGAGTTGTGTAAATGTTAACAGCTCTAATTGGTTTTATTGCTTCTGAGTGGTTGTACTTCCTAAGTGACTTTTGTCTTTGGGCCTGAAGATGGGAATATTTTAAATTTCCGAAACATGTCGCCCCCCCTCGCTTTTTAAGCATTAATTTTTTTAAAATTAAACAACCTAAAGGTTGTGAGTTATTGTCCTTTTACCCTCCTTCAAAGGTTTGCTTTGATAATCATTGAACATTTTAATCCTGCTTTTCTACATCCGCAGGCTTTACCATAGTTGTTGATTTTGCATTTACAGGATAAAAATGCCAAAAGGGATTTTGGAGCTGGATCTTTCAACGTTGTGAGTGGAGTCCTGTTATTGTTTTCTTCCAACCCCATTCTTCGGCATCTTTGGTACAACCAGACCAATGCTGAACCTGGTGGTAAGTTCGCAATGAATGCTGTCCAGCACGGCAATTAATTATTCATAAATTAATGAGCGACTTAATGATACGCCGCTGTTTCATGACAAAATTGAAGAAACTAAACTAAAACTAGTTTTAGTGAACACTAATCGACATTTGATTTCGGAAAATTGACTATATGTATATCATACGTCACGTAAAATTGTAAAATTTCCAGGGATTTTGTGCCTAAACAGTTGACTTTAGCGATTTTTAATTTTCATATATCCTTTTTTATAGGAAATTTTATTCTCTTTAATTTTGCTCTCTCCAAATTTTTGCGAAAAACGTATAGTTTTCGAGATGTTTACAAAATGCCGATTTTGGGCGCCATCTTGGCAAGATGGCGGCGCCGGCGGCAAGTCTGGAAATGTGCATTTTATGGATTTTAGTTAGGGACCCCAAAACCTATAAACCTGCAAAGTTTCAAAACTTCCAGACTTTTTTCCAAGCAGGCCCCTTTTTTGATTAATGACCGAACTATATGGGAAGTTGTGTCGTTTGCAAGATACAAAAATGTAGTAAATCCTAGAAGAATCTTTTTAAGAAAAAAATCGGTCTTTGTTGAAGTTGCAACAAATTTCTACTAGAATTTATGTAGGGGTGAAGGTAGATATCACCCTTCTAATACCCTTTACGTTATTTTGTGAAAGTTAAGTATTAAAGCGCCTAGCAGAACATAGGCACTTCAAATCTCATTCAAATCGGAATACCGGTTCTTAAAATAACCTTCTCTAAATTTGATGACCTCTAACGGACAAACAAAGGCACATTTGTATAGAGATAAATTGCGTTCAATTAACTTATTTTAATTCCAAAATTATGTAGCTCCATGTCCACGGAACATTGGGACACCCTGTATACTTACAACCACAGAAATATGGCCATATATCTACATATCCTATCGGAAATCATAAGTATTTTAACATCCGATAATAATTTTTGTAATGAAGAAAGATTAAATAATAAAAGTCAATGTTTTGTCTTCAGTGAAGGCTTTAATTCGTTCAATAAATTTAAGATTACTTATCAAATTATCCGTTTAAAATAGACATTATTCGTACTTTATGGAGCTGCACCTATCAATTTAATGGACTCTCGCATTGTTTTGTCTTTCATTATTTATTAAGCAATGAAAAATAAATTTAATTATTTATAACATTTATATCATATTAGGATTTTTCTTAATAACTATATAACTGATACGATTAGCTGCAATCAAAGAATTTTGAACAAAAAACTCACATTTTATATTGAAGTAGGTAATCCATTTTTACACATTATAAATATGAGTTTTTACATACCCGTTAGACAAATTTCATGTAAATGCATTCCGTTTCATCAGTTTTTAATAAAGTTACTCTCAAAGGTAGATCTCTAGATAATATAGTTTTTAAGAACATAGTTTGTAGTACGTCTAAATATAATGAAAAAGTATTTACCGTTCAAATTTATCCAGGACAATTAATCACAATCTTATATCCACATACTTAATTTGATTTTATCGAAATATTTAGTTGTTAGACAATTAGTTAGTAGTTAGTTGTTAAACAATTAGTTAAATATCATATGCAAAACTTTATATTGCTTACTGAAATTCCTATGAAAATTAAATTGCAATATTTCATACTAATTTTCTAATGTTCTTGTTTGATTCATTTCTTAAAAATGATTGTGTACTACTAAAATTATCGATTACGGAACCGGATTTTAAGGTTCCAAGAACAATATTTCTAAAAAACACGTTTAAGATTATGTTTGATAGATAATATAAAAAACATTGGGCTTAGCAGAATCGGAATTTGAAATTTAACAGGTTCATTATTGAATCTATGTTTTTTTGCGATTCAGTTATAATATATACGTCTTGCAGATTTTATTCTTCTGTACAAATTAGTAAAAATTTAAAAAAATCAACAAAATGTTTAGTCACCCACGCTTAACCTCGATTATTGATTACGTACTAAAAGACTATATTTTTTATGATTTAATTATAAATGTATAGTTTTCAGATGTTTCTATATACCGGGTGCTTCTCAAAAGTGGTTCAACCCTATAACTTTTTAATTTTTTCAGATAAAAAAACGAGATTTGGTATGTTAGTATATAACATAAATTAGGATTGATTGATGTATTCAATTGTTTTTGGCCACTTCCTGTTTCACCGGAAATGACGACAACTTTTGATTTTTAAATGGCACACTTAGTATTTTTTTACTTTATTCGATAGAAAATGACATTTCGAATAGAATGACGTATCATATGTCAACTTTTGACATTTTCGCTTAAAAACAAATCGTATTTTAACTTTCAATCTGGAGTGCCATGGCTATGTTAAAAACACTAATTCTTAATCAAGGAGCCTTGGAAAAATAGATTGGATCGTATAATGTTTTAGTGTCTTGTCCTGGCCAGTTATAAAATGCTCAAATCGAATTTTTAATCATATCTCAATTTTTTCAAATGGAACGAGGGTGGCTCATTAGCATATTTGGAAAAAGCATTTTTTTACGAATAATTCAAATTTTCGTTACGAACCGCAAGTTATAATTTCAAATAAACCATATGCAAAAATGTCAAAAGTTGACATATGATATGTCATTCTAAGAGTGTAGTTTTCTATCGATGAAAGTAAAAAAATAGCGAGGGTGTCATTTAAAAATCAAAAGTTGTATTCATTTCCGGTGAAACAGGATGTGACCAAAAACAATTGAATACGTCAATCAATCCTAAATTATGTAATATACTAACATACCAAATCTT